TAATAATAGTTTAATTTTAAAAATATAATAATAAAATAAAAAAAATTAAATTTATTTATTTAATATTTTATATTTTTTATTTCCAAATTTAAAATTATTATTATTATATAATTTAATTAATATAATAAAAAATTTAAATTTATATATTATTATTTATTTATTTTATTTGTAAATATTATAAAATATAATATTTTTTTAATATAAAATAAGTATTTAATTTTATTAAAATAGGTTTTAATTTAACTATTAAAATTAATTTTAAAAGTATATTATAAAATTTTGTTAATTATATTTTCGTTATAACTTTATATATTTTTAATTATATATATTTTAATTTAAATTATTAAAATTTTTATTATGTTATTAATTATAAATTTAATGTTAAATTTTTTATCGTTAATATATTTTTATTAAAGGTTTTATATTTATTTAATTATATTAAATATATAATATTATAATTAAAATTAATAATAATATTAATTATTATAATAAAAAAAATAAATAAAAAAATAATAAAAAAATATTATTATTAAAATATATATTATAAAAAAAAATTTACTTAATTTTATTTTTATAAATTATTTTTACAAAAAATTAAAAAAAAGTAACGTTATTATATATTTTTATAATTTTTAAATATTATTATTTTTTTAAATATTAAACTTTTAAATAATATTAATAAATAAAAATTTTTAAATAAAATTAAAAATTTTTAAATAAAATATAAAATTTATTAATAAAATAAAATTATAATATAATTTATAATATTATTACTTTTTTTTAATATTTTATATATTATAAATAAAAGTATATAATAAACGCATAAATTAATTAATATAAATTTTTTTAAAACTATTTATTTAATAAAATAAAGGTTTAATATTATTTATTTATATATAATAAACATAAATTTAAAATTTAAGATTTAACGCGTAAATTATTTTTTTTATGTAAAGATTTTAAATTAATATAAGATTTTTTAAAATTATATATAAAATTATAAAATTTTGGATTTAAAATTATATACGAAAGTATAAAATCTTAAAATTATTTATTTTTTTATCAAAATTTAACATATAAGCTATTTTTTTTAAAAATATTTAATTAATTTATAACTTATCGTTAATTATTAATCAATATTAAATAAATAAAAATATTATATATATAATAAATAAAAATTATTATTAATAATATTTAATATATATTTTAATTTAAAATTAAAATACATGAAAATATATATAAAATAAATGGGTTTATCCCACCCAAGTTATATGACCAATATTTCCACATTATTAAAGTATATATATAATTTAAAACTTTTATATAAAAATAATATTTTAAAAAAATATTATTATTAATAATTAAATTTTTATATAAATTAATAAAATTAAATATATATTAATTTAAAATTTATTTTAAACATTATTAAAAGTAATTAAATATATTTTTATTAATTTAAATTTTATATTTATTAATTATAAATTTTAATTAATAATTTAAAATTATAAAATTTTAAATAAATAATATATTAAATATTAATATTATAAAATTTATAACCGAAAAAAATAAAGTTTTTATAAAAATAAATATTAAAATAAAACTTTAAAAATATTAAAAATAAAAATAATTAAACATTTTAATAAATTATAATTTATAATTTATAAAAAAATAATTATTATTATTAAAAAAAATAAGTTAAAAAAATAAAAATATTAAATTTAAAAATATTTAATATAATTAAACGTTTTATAAAATAATAAATAAAAAGTATATATATTATATTTATTTGTTAATTTAAAATTATATTTATTTTTTTTAAAACGGTATAACATATGAAATTTAATTTAAAAAAAGTAAAAGTATTAAATATAAAAATTAAATAATAAATAAAATATAAAAATTAAAATTTTGATTTTATTAAATTAAATTTATAAAATTTATAAATTAATTATATTATTATAAATAATATTATTTATTAGTTATTTATTAAATATAAATAAATTATTTATAATATAATATAAAAATTTATTTTATATATTGATTTTTTATTATTATTTGTTAAAGATATTTTTTACGTTTAAATTTTTAAAAATTATTATGGAAAATTAATAAATAATTAATAAATAATTAATAAATAAATAATAAGAAATTAATAAATAATTGATTAATAAATGATAAAAAATTAATAAAACTTTTTAATAGATTTTATTATGTAAGTTTATAAATACGTAAAAACGCTTGCGTAAATTTGTAAATATATGCGTTTTTTTAAATTTTATTAATAAAAGAAATTAATAATTAATTTTATAATTTTCTAACAATTATATAAAAATTAAGAAATTAATAATATTTATTAAATTTATAATTAATATAATTTTATTAATGTAATAATAAAAGTATTATTAAATAAAATTATATAAATATTTATAAAAATAATTAAATTAATTTAAAATTAAAAAATAATAAAAAAATTATAAAATAAATAATTATTTAATTAATAAAAAAATTTACAAATAATTAATTATAAACAAATTATATAATAAAAAAAAAGTTACATTTTTTATATATTAAAAAAAAGTATAAATATATATTAATAAAACATGTTTTTAATATATTTTTTTAAATAATTTTTTTAAACATTATAAATATATTTATTTTAATTAATTATTATTTTATTTATTTGTTTTATTTTATATACGTATTTATTAACAATTATATTATATTAAATTTAAAAAATAATATTTATGGTAAACCATTTTTTAATGAAATTGTAATGTATTGATTTTTTTAAATAAATATATTGGTAAACCGAAGGTTTGTTAATTCATTTATAACTAAACTTAAAGTTAATTACATAAATTAATAATTGGTTATGGTAAGTTGCGCCTGCCAATTTATAATATTTAAAAATAATTTAATATTTTTAAAATTATTAATATTTTATATTTTTACATATAAATTTATATATAAAAATACTTATTAATTATATATAATTAAATATTGTTATTTAACGTTACGTTATTATTTTTTATTTTAAAAATTTGTTAATTAATTTTTATTAATTTAATAAATTTTGTCGGCCGTAATATTAAATGTATTTATTTTTATATTTTATTTTTATTTATTTATTTAATTTTAAATATATAAAATATAATATTAAAATTTATACCGAAATAAATTTAAACTTTTATATTTACGATATTTTAAAATCTATATTTTATAAAATATATTTGGTTGTATAGTCATCTATATAAGAAATGGTAGATTCCAATATACTTTATGATTTTTGATTGCCAAGTGGATCAAGCTACTTAGCAACTGTTCGACAGCTGTGGCCAAGGCTGACAGGTGTTTGGTATGGACATAACTTTTGAAGTCATATGATGTGTATTTTAAATCTCCTTGTCTTTTCGCTACATTTTAATATATTCAATCTGCGAAACATCTTTGCATCCTTTATTATATTTATAATACTCTAATTGCCATAGAGCTATGTACTTAATGCCGGCAACGAGTTATTTTCCATGGTAGCGACAGTCGCGTTGTGGAAGTACTTGGAAATATGTGGGAGAATAACTTTGAAGACGAGCCCAAAATTGACAGCAGTTGCAATAATTTCATCTATGTTGTGGAAGATACTACAGAATATCAGCTACAGGTTATAGAAGAGTAACTGCTACAGGATGTGGATTTGGAGGAATGGGATCAGCTCTTGTGCATGACCAGTCTTTGCGTCCTCGCTTGCGAGTACATTTGAACTAAAGGGTTGGGGCTTGAATCCAACAGCCAACTACACACGTATCAGATTACAACTCAATCCCCCCTGAGCTTGTAGCTCTATTTTGGAATAGAACTTAATAACTAGTTGACACAGGGAAAGAAATAGGCGTGGCTTATTCATATCAAAAATCGAGATTTGAAGGAGGTTGATACCCTATCTAGAACCATTAGGTAATTGTAAAGAATACCTAGGTAGCTCATCATAATGAGGGGTGTTAGGGCCCTCTTTTCGCGTAGGCGATGCTCTTAGATAGGCTCCAATCCATCTGATAAATGTCAATAGAAATTTCTACTTACCCAGTTTGCCCACTCCTAGCGCTGACGAAGCTTGATATACGTCAAGATCCTTATGTGACATTATTAACCTATGGCTAGTCATGTCTGTCTTCTTCTTAGTCTACTGCACTGCCGAGATGTCAATTTCAGTGAGCATTGATAGTATCTCAATCTGAACTATACCTACTGATGTCATGAGGGTGGAAAGATAGTAGAAAAATTCCTTCGCGATGCACTTGCTGGAAGCAATGACTTGGCCCCAAATAGCGATCCTTGTCTCGCCATTATTACAATGGCCGATGAATTGCCCTCTGGGGCATCAAAGCCACCATTGCAACCATTTACCTCCCCATTTTTAAGCCAGTCCATAGAAGATATATCTCATCAACTGAATGGAGCCACATACTTCGCTATCCTAGACGAGCGATCCGCGAATGATGAGACGGTGATCCTGGGTGAACACAGAGACGGCAAAGTTGAGACTGTTAGAGTCACCTTCTATTCGGCTCAGTCTCTACTCACTTCATTATATATCGGTACTTTAGGTTTCTTTGAAATCCAACACATTGCGGCTAAAGAAGGAGATGTGTACAAACAGGAGAAGCCCGAGGATAGGAGGAAGGGTGGGCCAGCTCCCCGGAAAAAGCTTTCGTCTCGTTGATGGGAATAAGAAGCAAATAAAATTTCTCTATGCTGGGATAGGAGGAGTTGCTGCTTACTTGGGAATGCTATTGCAGGAGCCGAAGTGTATCATCCTGCATTTGAGCTAACCTAAGCTACTTATTTCCTATATTCTAAATAAGATAGGAATCGTTTCACATAACTGTGTTATTTGCAAGTGACTAGGACGACATGTCATGCCTATTTTAAAGGGATCTATAACTATTGTAAGTCTCGAGTGTGATAAATCCTCTCATCAAGTTCATCCCCGTTGCGTTGACATGTCAAATTTCATAATGGCCAGGACTAGGTGGTACATCACCAGAGTCCCATGCAGTCCTATCAGCACCGAGCTCAAATTCGAGCAAGCTATCCTCTCCGTTAGGTCGGACTATGTTATCGTGGCTGACCCAACTTTGGTTCCACGGCTGTCCGTTGACTTTCAAGCTCTGTATATACGGCCCCTCGTCTAACCCTGTAGCTCTGATTCTCAAAACAGCGCCAGACTCCCCAACGCTCACGGTGATATTCTCAAATCGTGGGGAAAGGATTAGATACACCGGTTGCGTGACAACCGGGTAGAGACCGATCAAGTTCCAGATTAACCAGCTGCTCATTGCACCGGCGTCATCGTTCCCAGGGATTCCAGAGGGCCCCGTATTGTAGAATTGATCTACTACCTCTCGGGATCGCTGAACTGATTTATGCTGCCGCTCTGGGAAATAATTATACAAGAACGGCGTCATGAAGCTGGGCTCATTTCCTGGGTTATAGATAGTCGTACCGGCGCCATTCCCACCTACATTCGATCCTGCAAGGCCCGGTATAAACATGGTGTCCAGTCTTGACTCCGCCTTTGTTGGGCCCCCCATCCGAGAAATCAATGATTCCATGTCAAATGGGACAGTCCAGCTATACTCCCACCTTTGAACGATGAAAATTAGTACATCTATGACTTTATTAGGAGATGCTTAATGTCACTTACGGAACACCCTCGTAGGTTATACTACTCCATTCGCAGGCACCGCATGATATTGGGTCGTAGTCCTGATAACTACCATTCGGCCACGTGGGCGCTAAGAAACCTGTAAAATTCAGCGACGTTACGTCCGAGGCCCATGTCCTTTGCCAACCCCTATTCATCAAATCAGCAGCTTTTACTAAATATTCCTCGCAGTGGCAGGAACTTACGCGGAACCATTGAGGTATTTCATTGCGTCGTCTAGAGCTTCCCCCTTGGCTACTTGATACACTGAGAAGTCGTTTAATGAATACTCGACAGTTTTACTTAGAGATCGTCCGAAATTCGGACTGACATAACCATATTGTTTCCAGTCTCGAAGTGCGCCTCGGCCTTCCTTTGTACTCCCGGTCAAATCTTCCGGGTCGAAATTATTAAAAGGCAAGTCATCTGCGTCACTCTTCATGGCCGCATAACCATCTGTCCAATTGATACCGCCTCGAAGGCCCTTCACATAAGAATCGGCCAGCACGTTATCGGCGTTAGAACCGCCTTGTACTCGTCCGTTGAAGTTATGACTTCTCCCGTCCGGCATAAACCCTTCGAAGCGCCAAATGTCTATTAGAGCTCTGATAATCTCTATTTGCGTCTTCGGTTGAATTAACACGTAGAGAGAGTGGAGACATCTGAACGTATCCCAAATAGTATAGAAATCGTCATAATATGGTTCATCTGATTCCCAGTATGGATTGTCTCCAGTTCTGTTTGAAGGAAGTAGGTGAGCATGGTACATAGCCGTGTAAAACATTTCTAATTGGGTGTGGTTCATCGATGTGACGTCGATCTTCGAGAAGACGTCTGAGTTCCACTGGTCTTTCGCGGCATCTCGAACATGCTCCAAATTCCAATGCGGGATTTCGTCGAGAAACTGACAGGCCTTGTCTGTCGAGACCCAAGATATGCCAACTTTGGAATTAACTGTTGTGACGTTTGGGGGAAACTCTAACAGTGCCCCTATCCGGTCTGCATATTGGTATCCTACTATTCCACCGTCGATACTAGTGTCATTGATGAAACTTGCTGTAGCATTCCTTGTGCTGGGCCAGTATGGGTCTGTTGCTTTACCCGAGAAGAGTTGAGACTGCAATGGGGTAGAGTCGAACTGAGCACAGAAGTATACTCGGTAATCACCCCCTAGAGCTTGTTAGGATATCAGGTATAAATGATTTGGCAGTAACTGACCAGTGGACCAACCCCCTCGATATACACCATAACCCGAATAAGAAGTACCGTCATTGCTACGGTCGATTTTTCCATTGCTATAGAACTGTCCTTTGTCTCCAGTGCTGGGGAGATAATGACTAATGTCGACCAGAATATACCGTCCGTCTGAATTGTTAGGGTACGTGTATCTAATTATTCCAGCGTGCATAGCAGCACTCATCTCAGCAGTGACACCATTCTGCAGCTGAGTCTTATAGTATCCGACCTCAGCTACGTCTGGGGAAACTCGCGGTTGCATATAGGTCATATTATCTAGTATATTCACACCGTCGAGACTCGTAAGGGGCATTTGAGGTATAAGTCCATAGGTTGGTGCTCCACCTGTGCCACTCTCGTGTAACATCGTGATGGCGGTAACACTTGAGTCTGGGGTATAGCCGCCGTTCGCGGTAACTAAAGTAATCAAAGTGAGCAATCAATGAATTATCAGCTGAGAAGCCAATTAAAGTGTTATGGAGTCAATGTCACTAGGAAAGTGATTCGAAGAGGGTTTTCTCTTGCACATCTCGTTCTGTGTACATCCCCTAAGTATCACTATTAGAGGTAGACTTACATGAGACATTCAACCTAATTGGGCATTAGCGAAAGGTCGACACCGAAGTCTCCTCATGTTGAAAGAATACATACTCGGCGGTGTCAATCCCAACTTTAACAGCGCCAAATGGCAAACTGGCTCCGGGAAATACATTGCCAGAATTATAGGACGTGCCTGGGTCTGGGCCCTCAGTGCCAATGAAGAGATTTACATATTGCGTTCTGTCCTCTGCGCCGACTACGAGGTGCTTAGTGGTAAGCACCGGGACGACAGCAATAAGACTCCAGAGAAACTTCATCGCTATAGGCTGCAGTCCTAAATGCCTAATAGAGATGTTGTATGAATCCAAACAGCATAGATCTTAATGCTATGACGAGACCTGTCGCAACTTAAGTCTAATAAGGAGAATGTTGACAGAGTTATTGCGCAAAGAGCTCCAATCTATATACTGATAACCACGTGAATCATACCATCGAAGTCCTTTGTTAGAATGGCTCCCTTAGATCCCATGACAGAATTCATGCAAGTTGTACGCTCTCTTCATATAATCACCAATCTCAATTAACTCCTCGATCATGCTACCCCAGATGACTCCATATCATTCCCCGCAACACCCCAAGCTTCTCCCATTCCCTTGCCTTTGAAGATCCTCGCTAAGCTACTTCCGGCTTTCATCGCTACCAAAATTATGGATTTGTCTTGAACATCCCCTTGAAATTGGAACGTCTTACATGACTTAGTTCCCGAGTGGGCTATAAAACTCAATCGTTGATGCATACTACCTTTCATAGGATCCTATTACATCAAAAGGCTAGTCCTTAGTCATAGCAATCAAATCCCAAGTGTTGCGATTTTATGGATAGCAGCATTAAGCATCGCGGGGTATGTCTTCGACCTGTCCTACAGCATCGGGTCCGAGAGACTTCCGTCACATCCGATGTCAATAGCAATTTCATTGATACCGATGATGGCTTTTCGGCCGTGTATCGGAGTTACTATATTTCCCTGATGGGGACTTGTCCCATGTAGCACAAGCTGTATAGATATTCTGACCCTTCAGATGTGCTACGTAGGTAGCAAGCAGCATCCTCTCCAATTGTCGTCACTACGTCGCATCCCGGGTGGGTTAAGATACGTGACGGCGACATAATATCTGCTATTCGTCACGGCCTATCGGTTACAAACGGTTCTCAACACCAGATTGCCGGAATTCCGCTCCCTATCCATGGACGTCTCCGTATGTCCTCCATAGAGACCATCCGGCTAGAGCAGCAAAAGCGCCCCAATGACCGAAGACTTTCCTCCTAGATTCATCTCCGCCGTAAAACCAGACTACGATACCGTCACCTAATCCCGCAAGAGACATGACGCCCGTCATGATTGTGACAGCGTCGTCGTATCCGTGATATTGCAAAGCCCCTAATGCTAAACCGTATGTGATTTCGCGGATGCCCTTTAAATAAATTACTGGGGATGCGTACTCCTCGTCGACCGTGTTGTGTTTCCGCCGTTGCGCGGGTTCTAGCGGTAAGCCGAAGCGGCGGTATTCTATCTCGGGGCGTAAGAAGCAGTGAATGCCAAGAAACACGCTTCCGGTTCCGATGACGTAGACAGGTATAGGTGACGAAGATGGCATATTGAATCCGATTGATTTCTTCATGAATATTCTTTTTTAGACCATGGAATATTAACATCGCGTCGAGTCGCGCCGTCTCTATATGTAGGGACAGGGAATAATAGGGGTTAGCTACGTGGCTGGGTCTAACATGTTACTCGGAATGGCAAGACGTCGGAGATAGCAGCTATGCGGGTCCAGAGACGAGAATTGATGGCTATTAATTTACTCAGGCTCTCAAAACTGAAGTAAACTGAGTGACAAGTATCTCGGATGTGATATCTACTAGCTGGGATAATCAAGGTGCTCTTACGTTGATGATTCCATTGTTTGAAACTGTAGCCCGGACTACTCGATGATTTCGGTCCACTTGTAGTTACAGCCTCACAGCTGACGAATGTCATTTTCGACTATTCTACGGCAGAAACAGTAATGATACGCGTGTCAATATCTTTTCAATCTTACCTAGTATATGAGATTTCTGATGAGATTATAGATCCATTCTGCCATCTGATTCTGGTTTACATACCTACCTGTGCTTTTACATAAGAGAACATAGCCTTCTAACCCTTTTAAATCTGATATTTCGTAGACAGACTCTCCAATGATAATAAATTCCAGTTAACGTAAAACACAAGTTAACTAATGGATGATAGGTAAATGTGAAAGGTCTGCGGGGTTAGTGACGTTGGTGAATTCAGTAACCGAATTACGACAGCAATCTCATATCTTACATTCTAGTCAAAATTTTACAACACGGCTTTGGGGATATATCAAGATAATACCTATGCGAATGCGTCATTACTCGTGTTGAGATTATCTCATTCGCTTCGTACCGTCCCTGGATATTAAGCTAACAGGACTTGAAAATGGAAACGTCAAGCCTCAATAAACTAGTCTCGAAACCCTTAATTTAGCAATGGTCCTAGGTCCCGGAAGGGTTCGTAATGTCCACGTGTGGATGTGGATAAGCAATGTCCGTGCGGGTTATCCGTCGAACGACGAAACGAACGATAGAAGAATAAAAACATGTCTTCTCCACTAGGCTAGAGCTTTACCTTGGTAAGCGGGTTACCGGATCGGACGAATATAGGCAGTATTCTAACAAAGTCGGCCCCGGCGCGATATACGCGATGTCGTAAGTGCTGACTACATCGGAGGAGACCCGCGATGTGACGACATGGATAATAATCACCGAGCTGGGTGCGTTAGTTGCGACAAGGCCGAGCTTTGTTATCCTGGCTGCAGATCCTCTGACGGACAGGGACGCGGGCTTCGTTATCTTTTCTGTTTCTTAATCGAATGAACATAGGTGGAGTCACATTGGATCTGGGGTTGAGGCCGCGATGGCGTTTCAGCGTAGAAACATAAAACTAAGGCTGTTGATATGAAGTTGACTATACATGATTTTATTCGAATACATATGAATGAGGATTTGCATCATGTAGTCTTCTGTGACGATATAATAAGCCACTTAGAAGAACTTGGATATACGAAAGCGTTTCGAGAAATACGTAAGACCGTTTTGGTCTGATGTGAGGTCTTGTTACAGGGGTTCTGATATTGTATCGCATCGCCTTGGCGCAGTGATTCACACAAGGAACTTGGTTTCAGATCCACGCTATGACTGGCCGATATGAGACTCTTTTGCTTCACGATCTCATACCCCTGTCTGGTCTCCTTAGGATGTTTCCTCTGATTATCGATCATGTTCCTTGTATAAATAAAAGAATCTAGGAAGATCACTTCTAGTTATATGTAGATCCTCAACCTCGCAACTAGGTATTGAAGATCTCGCAAAACACTCTCGTTTACTATCACGATACTTAGTATTTCTCCCATTGAGCCGCTCTTGGTCAATATCCACTCATTCAAACAACTTAAAGTGAGAATACATTATCGCATCGCCATCATGAAGTTCTTCGCCCTCCCTAACATCGCTACGATTCTCGCCGTAAGCGCCTCACTTGTCGTGGCTTTACCTCTCGAAGCCGAAGCAAACACAATCAACACAACTCGGAGTACTACAAGCAACGACTGCTCTATGGACAAGATAAGAGAATGTGTTGCCGATACAGGGCTCGAGAGCACGATATGTTTCAAGCAAGTTTGCGCTGGCGTACAAGGAACGCCGAGGAAAACCAAACGCCAAGAGGACCAATGCACCGAAGAAAACCTCCTCCAATGCGCAGTGATGGAATGGCGGGAGGCCGAAGTGTGCTTCCAAGAATTCTGTCTGTAAAATTACCGCAGAGCGTTATATGGACCGGAAAGCTCAGGGAACTTTGAATTATTTCGCCGAAGACATGAATGCGGTTACTCAGAAGGAGAAAAAACGGAGCTATGACACACGTATCCCTCATTTAAACCGCCATTCGATGCAACGGAATCGGAAGGTTGTCTGTTTAGATCCTGAATATCTTCCGAGTTTAAGCAGCAGCATTCACATAACCGGAGACATATTCTATGGAACTCGGGGTTTCGGCCACCAGACGGAGTCCGCAGTTTTTGAACACGGATGAGATGGGGGCCTCATTCGTTTGGATTGTATTTGTACTGTAATTTAAGGACGGCAGGGTCGGTCTTGGAGGACGCTTTGGCATGTCTGATGGCTGTTACGATTATATCTGCAAGCAGAATTGAATTATATAAAATATTGAGATACCCCTTTTGAAGATTGATTTTTATTCATTAAAGTACTATAAACTAATAAGCGTGTATATTTTCATAAGTTGATAAAATAAAATAGTTGGGTCCTATTTCAAGGCTGAAGGACTCGATCCACAAGATGATTCTAGAATTGATCATTTACCTTGTCTCTATTTCTCCCATGCAAACGGGATTGGACAGTAAGCAACCCCTGTCGGTTACTGGAAAAAGCCGAATTTCGTCTTCACTGGATTCGCTTTCGTCGTCAAAACTGCTACCCAAGGCTATGCCGATTTCCTGGCTCTCGATTCTCGGACGAATAGGTTGTGAATAAGTGAGAACACACATGCATCAAATTTAGTAACTAAGAAGAATATAAGTGTCTAAAACCTGTAGTATGATCTGGACGTTTATGCCTAAAGGAGTAATAAGTTACAATATACTACTTAGCTAAAGCTGACTCTACTATTCCTTACATAGCTAAGTAAAAACTCGCGCAAAGCTCCCATTATACTCCTATTCGTCATCTTCCCAGTGAGATCTAACATAGGAATGTAATTTAGTGGCACTCAAGCAGAAGCAAAGCTATCCATTGGCTGGAGCTTCATCCTACTCCGAAGCTCTCGTACGTTGTATCATCCATGGCTCAGCTCCGAGCCTGTGTCTTCTCGGAGAATAAATTACGAATACGCAATGCCCGCTCTTTGATTCTCCACGTAGTAGTTGGTAGATTCTCTCCTATTTAGGTACAGGTCTTGAGCTTGGGGCATTTATATATCCTTCTTGCCCATGTAACTACCTGCAATTCCCTGCAATTAGGTACAGGCACCGGAGTCCGGATACATCATGCGACTCTTAAAAATATCCCTTTTATTGGCGGTGGTGACTCGTGACGTCCTCGCGGTTAAAAATGGCCACTGTCCGCCTTTGGGACCAGTCCTACCGGCGCCGAGAAGTCCGAGCTCAAACCCGGCAGTCCAGCAAGTATTGGCAGTACTGAAGGGGGTCCTAGACCAGTACGCCGTGGCACTCTTTGACGGCACGACAGTGTCAATCGGCGTAAAGTCTATCCACGAAGAAACACCCTTGGTAGATATACACTACCAGTCGCCGGATCTAGATCCGCGGGGAACGAAGCAAATAAATGCCTCGACCATCTATCGAGTTGGAAGTGTGTCCAAGCTGTTTACGGTGCTGGCGGCCCTCAAGACCGAGGGTATCCGAATGGAAGACCCTATCACCAAGTACTTACCACAACTCAAAGAGCTTAAGAAGCGAGAAGGAAGCACAGGAGATCAGCTCACTACTGTTGATTGGGACGATATTACACTTCAAGCTCTAGCATCACACATGAGTGGAATTGGACCGGACTGTAAGAATCTCATATGAAGAACTGCACTCACTCAGCTAATACATTGCTCAAGTTGTAACCGACATGACAAGCCTCGAGGCTGATTGGACAAAACTTGGACTCCCTCAAGCTCGTGAAACTCTTGGATGCCGTGGTTTCCAAGGCGTTGCTCCTTGTAATGAAGAAGGTCAGTAGATGGTATAACCCGCATTATCCCTAACTGCTCTGATATATGCGCACTAGATTTCTGGGAAAATTTTGGGAAACGGGATCCCACTTTTGCGCCATACACTACCCCTATGTATTCAAACACGGCATTCTACCTGCTCAGCTTGGTCATCGAGTCGGTATCCGGGCTGCCTTTCAACGACTTCGTTCAGAAGAACGTCGTAGATCTTGTTGGCATGACAAGAACCTCGTTGGCGAAGCCGGATGATAAGCTCGGTGTTATCTGCTTAAATGACACAACATGGGACGATATTCTGGGAATCGACGATCCGTAAGTGCATATGTGTGATGTTGTGCATTTGACTGGTTCTTGACCAAAGAAAATAGGGCTGGGGGATTCTACTCAAATACGGAGGACCTCCTCCAATTTGGCGAAGCAATACTAACTTACAAGCTTCTCTCACCATCGCAAACCCGCCGGTGGTTAAAACCCGTGACACTCACTTCCTCGTCGGGTCTCTTCATCGGCGCACCATGGGAGATCGCGCGCGGCGACAAGCTTACCTCAGACCAACGTCCAATAGACGTATATAGCAAGGCAGGTGACCTCGGTTCGCACCATGCGATGTTTAGTCTGATTCCGGACTACGACCTCGTCGTAAGCGTGCTTATTGCCGGGTCTCAGGCTGGTACTGGAACCGCGCAGATCATAAGCTCTCTTATAACGCAGCTATTACTCCCGGCTATCGAAGACGCCGGCAAGGAAGATGCTTTGTCCCGGTTTGCGGGTACTTACCGGGACGAGCAGAGCGACTCTAGCATTACGCTGGTTGTTGATGATGTTGGGCCAGGGCTTAGCGTTGCTGATTGGATAGTCCGTGGCGAGGACGTGCGTGGGCATTGGCTTCGCTATCTTACCTCTCCAACTGACGATACTGGGGGAATACACGTGTCAATGCGCTTGTATCCATCCGGCCTGAGCATTGGCTCGAGGACGGCGTGGCGGGCGGTAGCTCAGCTCGCAATACCAGAGCAGCTTACTCAGATGGAGGCGCTCTTGTTCTGGCCGCAGAGCAGTTGTCTGACTTGGGCTTTGATGGATAGAGCCGTGTACCAATTCGGTGCGCTCGATGAGATTGTTTTTAACTTGGTTGATGTAGATGTAGGAAGTACTGCCGTGAGCGTTGATTTGGTTGGGTTTCGGGCGACATTGCAGAAGACTACATGGTATCCAGAGCAAGTGTGCCTGAACTTGATGATAATGAGCTGGATTTTCGATCATAGTTTGTCTAATCTATGTAAGATTTTGTAAAGTTGGGACTCACCTTACTTTTGTGTACTCACTGAAGAGTTTAAGAGGCTATCGTTTTGGGCGGTAGACCTGCTTTCTGAACCCTTCTAAAAGACTACCTAGGTATCTAACCTATTGGTGATATCCTCTTGAGTAAGATCTAGATTCAAGGACTACGTTGAGCTCATCGTCCACCCAGCATAAACTCACCAAGTATTTCTGCACAAGCAGCCTCTTCACATGTTATCCATGCGCATTAATAGGTGCTCAGCTGACTTTCGCACCAGATCCTTTTAACTTGGCAAATTTTTGGTTTATTATTACCTCGTAATCATCACTCCTAACCTTTAAGAAACATATCTTCGGTAGTGTGTCCCTGTGACCACCTTCGCAGCATTGCATAAATTTTTGAATATATATGTCCCGCGCAGACTCAGTGCAACCCTGCCGGCAGCCGTAGATAAATTATCTGTCATGCCGGATATGTGCTTCCGCCGGGTTCCAGTTTCTCGCATCATGCATCATGCAGGCTACCCACCTGGCTCTCTCGGAATATCGCAATCGGGTACCGGCAAGACCTTCAGCATTTTGTTATAGTCTATAAGAGTTAGGCAGAAATGTTCACGAATATCCGAAAGTTGGCATAAAATTTGTATTGAACTTTTGGAGAGCTAGTCTGTTCATATATTGCAAATGGCCATCCCGTGGCCCGGGTATCCCGCCCAAAGTAGAGTCCCAGGCCTCTTATAGTATTTTATCACACCCCAATCCCTTTGTAATCCTATATGTACAACGTGTTCGCGTGTTTCCCTCATTCCATACCAGGCGGACAAGCCCAGCTATCTTGCTTCTCATTTGTGGGGAAAAAAAAAAAAAAAAAAAAGGACGCTCCCGAGCGTTCAACGGAGAAATGAATTGGAGGACTCGCTCTTAGAACATATACACCTGAAGAATAATATTGCTGATATAGAAGAAATAGCCATAAGACAACCTAGTCTATTAGCTTAGAAATGAAGTATCTGGACACTGTCCCGCAGAAAATGTGGCGCCTGCTTCACTACCCCTTAATTCGTTTAAAACTTAAGGTTGGTAGTTGTGCATGCGCATAATCCCTCAGGTGTGGAGGTCACTGTAGAGGTGACTACACTGATGATGGTAGACGTAGCACCACCGCTTACGGTTTCGAAGACAGTTGTGGTGCTGCCACCTCCACCAACAGTCTTGGTGACGGTAGTTTCACCCCCGCCGACCGTCTTAGTGACCGTTGATGGTGCCGAACCAGTAACAGTGACGGTGGATGGCTTGATGGTTTTAGTTTTGGTGACAACTGTCGGCGCGGAGATTGTAACAGTAGACTGGACGATAGTTGTGGTACCCTCTCCGCCGCCGACGGTCTTGGTAACAGTGGAACCGGCCCCGACAGTCTTGGTAACCACGGACTCAGCAGGTGCTGAGACCGTGACAGTAGTATCAGCACCCCCTCCGCCAATAGTCTTAGTGACAACCGAGGGTGCTGGTGCGGAAACGGTAATGACGGTTGTCTTAACATCACCACCACCGACGGTCTTAGTAACAACTGATTGAGCGGGACCCGAAACAGTAACAGTAGGAGGGATGATAGTCTTAGTCTTGGTACCACCCTCACCCTTTCCGTCCCCATTACCAACGGTGACTGTCACGATAGGCGGCTGAGTAGCAGAAGACTCCTCTCTAGGGTTCGAGACTGTTACGGTACGAATGATAGCAGAGGATGAGGAGCCAATGTTGATGGTAGTAGTGATGATAACCGTCTCAATAGGGGTCTCAGATGAGGCAGAGTTAGTTACCTAGATGCAATATTAGTAACTGCTCGAAAGAAGTCTAGGGTAATCTAAAACTTACAGTCTTGGTAACGATACCAGTACTATCAGAGATAGTCACGGTAACGACGGAAGGCTTGTTACCACCTTTGTCGCCACCGTCATCATTACCGTTGCCGTTTCCACCAACATTTGTGGGCGAAGCACCGTCTGTAGTGGTAGTGACGCTGGGGACATCACCGCCATTGTCACCGCTTCCAGAAGGCTTAGATCCTGTCTCAGTAACGGTAACAACAGAGTCAGTAGGGCCAGCAGGGGGAGTTACGGTAAAAGACTCCACAATAGATGATGAGATTGATGGGGCTTCGGTGACCGGGCAGACGGTAGTAGTGACACCGATGACGCTCGTTATAAGAACAGTCGAGTAGGCATCTGGTGGAAGCGAAGTAAGGCCTGCGGTATCGGTGGCAGCCGGGCAATTAGTAACCGTAGATGCGCATGAGATGATCGTCGAGACGGAAGTCACGCTGACTGTCAGCGTCGTCAAGGGGACGGTTCCATTGAATGTAGCGTTTCCAAACGTAGGGAACGGGGAAGTTGTATTTAGGAGCGGCGGAGATGTGATGGTCGGGCCAGCAACGTCGGTTGACGTAGTGCTGTTGGCGACCACAGTTGAGCTCGTAACATCTGCGGACGAAGAACTGTCTGCCGATAAACTTCTGCTGATTGTCACAGTTGACGTAGCAATGTCTACTGACGAAGTGCTGCTAATAACATCGCTTGCCGTCAAAGTCGATTCTAGTCACTTTGTTAGCTTAATTCACCTCGTCAGTCTTCTAAAGCTTCGTACCACTTATTGTTAGAGTGTCCGAAGTAGAAGGCTCAGGGGTAATAATACTACTACTACTAGTCTCAGAAGCAGATGTGGATGAGTCGAATATAGACGTAGTGATTGTGCTCGGGGCAGCTACGGTTGTGGTTGAGTTCGCGAACGTGATATAGCGCGGGAATTGTCGTCGTGCCGCTGCTCTATCCGCAAGCAGAAAGAGGGTGACGGCCAAAGCATCTTTTCCTCTAAACAACATATTGAAAACAAACCAGTGTATATATTCTAAAAAGGAGTGACGAAAAAAACAGGAGAAAGGAATGGCTAGCCGAGCCCTAGAGAAGGAAAGCTCAAGACTGAGAGATAGGAATGAATGAGAGACAACACTTGCCCGCGATGTGTAACAAAGCGATAGGACGAGGGGAGCCTTTGGGGTTTTAAGACCTCGTCGTCTCGCTCTATGGTTGACCCAAATTTACGAACTACTTGCTTCATGATCTTAAAATATCTACTTAGAACATGGGGAACCATGGCAGCCAAGGATTCGATAGAGTAGTATCGTATCTCTTGGTCGTCATTAGATTTAAACTCCTGAATAAGAAAAGTGAAAAGGACGGGTCTGCTGTCTTGTCAACGACCAATCTAACTCAGACCTACAGTGTACCCCGGGTCGAATCGAGCGTTCGCTCCCTGTATGAGTCTGACACGAAATGTTATAAACAGCATTGCGGCGACTTATTCTAGCTAAAGCAAACTGCGAGATCAATCGCGCCTCATTGTTTGATTCACGGATCGTACGGATGGGATATCATGATAGGGAGCCCGCATAAGATCGTTCTATAAGTTAGATGTTAGAGACTCATTTTCTATTATGAGGAGTGGAAGGATTGGGCAGATTCGTGGCGTTACCCCATTAAGGGCAGCTGGAAACGTATAGATGAGCTTATTGTTATATAACTGTTTCATAGTGGCAGTGCATTTCGAATCCATCGCTGAAGCTATACCGAAAAGCAATAGAAGGATTCGTTTGAGATTTGGCAGTTCCCGGGTATAGAAGTCCGAGTTGCATTCATCTTCTAACCTTAGTTAGTCTTGTTTACATTTATTCGGATGCTTCACGATGAGTTCTAGGTAGGAATATAAAAATCTAGACCGATTATAGGGTTGATTTTGATAGATTGATAGATACGTAGATGAGGATCAATTGACGTTTGTATTGGATGAATGTATTATTTATATGTCTCTACGCTAATAGGAAGTAACAGAAAACATGCTTACCTTAGGTACCTAGGTACCTGTTAGTTATGTACCTAACCCCGACATTTCAACTCTAAACTCCGGGTAGCTGCTAAGCTTTAAGCTTCAATCCTCAAGCTTCAATATTCAATTCTTGATATTATCAACTTTTTCTCGAACAACTCTCCAATTCGAGTAACTACAAAAAAAATCTCTACAAGTTAATAAAGAATCCTGTTATCTCTCTCTCTCTCTCGAATTATTACCTACAACGGAATTAATTTGTTTCATGCGTCCTTATATGAGCCAAGCAAAGCCACCCCGTATTTCTCTCTATAGAACATGAACTAAAACTTGATGGCGCGGTAACATAATGTACCTAATGCACACAAGCAAGCCACCCATCGTCACTGTGTAGCGCGACAAAGCCTCATTTACTATTTTAAAGTCCTTTAATGTCTATTATTTTAACTTTATCTAGTACGTAGCCTTCTTGTTCGTATCTTATTCGTGCATTCGCATCCTGATCATCTCTGATTCATATATTCCTTACTAATTGACTGCCTCTTAGCCGACTCTCTTACCGCAAATTCTCTTCGATGAGTCGGGATGCTGGATAATGCGGCAAGCATAAAGCTCAGCGCCATGTCGGACTGGCTTTGTGGCACGTTGCATCTCGACATGACGAAGCTTTCGACATTGAACCACCCATAGTTCGGAGGCGAGTTGTTACGCTCACTCAACCATGCTCATAATTGAGCAGGTAACAATATACAAGCCGGTGCCGGGGAATTTTAACAGGGTTCATTTAGCTTGATCTACATCAATGGCGTATTACAGAGCCTCGGAGAATATCAACCCATGAATCTGCTTTTCTAACTTAGTAATACCTATATGCGATTCAATTATTAGGCTCACTGCTATCGAGCACTAGGGCGCCTCTGAAGGATGAGAGAAGCAGGAACATATTCCATTAGTATATATCACAGTAGCCAGGCGTATGACGGACTAATCAGAACCGGCGCGTATCGATCCATTGATTCAGCTCGACATGTGAAAGCTCAACCGATAAAGTTCTTAGTATCCAAGGCACATATCCCTACTGCCAGGCTTAATTTCACTTGGACCCATTCCGAGTGGTAATTGCTCGCGGGGGTTTCATATGTCAAATGTTCTAACAGACATAGGAGATGCTATGATGCTTCCTCTACACCCTTGAAATTTGCTGGAGCACCGGCGGCACGAATATTTCCCGGTAGCAAGGTCAAAATTACGGCCCATGGATGCAAGAAGATGCTGCATGGCCCCCACGGTTAGTTCAGATTCAATGCAATGCAATGTAGGTACAATGCGTCGTTGCTGACTTCGTTTGGCGGCTTCTGCGCAACATCAGAGACATTACACTGCAATTACAACGCTCACTAGCCAGCAGAGTAGGTATCAAGCATCCTACGTCTGCTTTAGTCGCTTGCTACCGTCTTATCTTATTTCAAAATCCCGAAGCCCGATAACCAATAATCTAAAAATAAGCTCTCAGCATCATAATTAACGATGCCACTTGGCTTGAAGTTAACTTCTTACATCTATCATCTAAATGAGGTTTGAAGCGGCGTTGGCAGAAATACTACCCTACTTCTTACTAGTTACCTATTAGTCATGTGAACATTAGATCCGGCGTTCTTATAAGACACCACTATATTTTGTATAACAATATGTCGACATTCTACTACCCCGACACGAAATAGCCCAATACGGCAGGTCCTCAGAGGACATATGGGCACCATCTCTAGCTCGTAAGTTCAGTATGGAATTCATGGTTGACATCTCTTGGCTGCAACCGCCCAGAACCTCCTATTCGGACAAAAGGGCAACCCTAGAAAGAAATATGAGGTTAGAGTCTTTCAAGGGCTATCGCATGCGCCGTTTACGACATAAGGCTGGTTCGTCAAGTGGACTTGCAACGTTCCTGCGCCGCCACAAAACAAGATGGATGGGCGTTGGTTAGGCATACGGTAATGACTTCATATCTTCAGGTGTAATATCCGCCCATACATGATGGGCCACGCCTTGCTGACAGCTCAGTCTTGGAAGGCAACCACGAGGCCAGCTAGAACGCAGAGAAATCTATAGGAATCCCTAGCATCGGGCCTTGTTCCTCTGTATGATTAGATTGCGGGGTAGCACGGCATATTGTAGTAGCTTCCCATGGGTAGGCTTACCGACAGTTGGGGCCACTCCGTCATCCCGAGGCCACCTGGGCGGCTAGACCTCGTGTGGCACACTCTATCCATGAAGGCGGCATCTAATCGGCGCAATTTACGCGGAATACTAACATATATCGTGAAACTAGTCATAGGGACCAGGAAGAGGGACTGTGAAAAGGCTTGGACGCGCGGCGCCAATGCAACGCTAAGATCCCATGATCTTGGCCTAAAACCGCTTTTTTACACCTCATGTGCGATATCTAGTTGACATAGTCCGGAAGCCATCGACGCTTTCCCCGGATTGTCGTGAGCTGGAGAAGTCCCCGATCCTAGCGGAAAACTTGGCATAGGTGAGAATAAGACTATTAAACCCTCGACACGTGAGGTCGTTGGGGTAATGATCATAATCTCATGCCCCGCGCTGCCCCTGCCGCTGGGACCCGGCGGCCAATGCGTCACCGCCGGGTGCTTAAATCAATCAAATTCTACTCTTAAGTTCTATTCCTATGTACCTAGGTGTATGTGTTTTTAGCACATGCTATTAGTACGGCAGAGAACTTGTGCGACTCAGACTATAAGTTGCCGCATCACATATTACCTAACATTTGGGTACCTACTATGCATACGGATTAGTACCGTGCGTATTAGTATTAACTAACCCATAGCTACGACTCCATAAACGAAATCTATTCTAAGTTATTATCAAAGAAGATATTGTTAAGGCTTTACTCTTCTTTGTCTCAGTTGTCGATCCCCCGCACATCAGCTGGGTTGGGGTTTATACAGGGTTGAGCAAACAATAAACCGTTGAAATCGATTTATTGTTTATAGTTTGGTGTTTGACATTTGAACTACACAGCTACACAACTACACCGACTATTGGACTCCTTCCTTCTACGGAATACAATAGTATCAGATTACCCAACCAAGATTCATGTAAGGGACTACCAAGCCTCAAATGACAGCAAGGACCGTGCAAACGCAAGACACGAGATCTCTAAAGCCAATTACGGAGAAGATACAACACGGTATACAGATGAGAAATTAGCACTGCCCCGCGCCAAGCTTGATTCCCCAGAATCGGGGGCTACCATAATGCCGCCTAGAAAAGCTTGGAAGCGGGAGCTACTTTGCGTCCGTCTTTACATGGACCAGCTGCGAAGCGGCACAGCTCAATGGTCCGAATCTAAAGCCTCTACAGCCTCTAAAGCTACCGAGGCCCCCAAACTTCGTCAAAGTGCCGGCCACAACGCCAATATATACATGTGAGCTTACTCCCCCGGGAACATGCAGGCATGCCATGAGAGAGAAAAATTTTCAGGACTGTGACTCTCACAGAGTACTAGAGGGCAGCAATATGCATAACGTCCTTGGCGAAGTAGACTAAGAATAGACCCAAAATGGCAGATTAATTTTTGACTTTAGAAAAACAGCCTATCCCTTCAAATAACTCTAGCTCGATTCGTTATGCGCTGTGTCTTGAATAGGCAATAGTGTTGAAGGGCGGCAAAACTTTCTAGGGTCTAATAGAGCCCTGGAGCTATATATGCTCTCCTAGCATTAATAAGCTTTTTCGGACCTGCATTATGGCAGCGTTGTAGCTTGACGTGGCGGCGTGACACGCGCTTGTCTTATTCGCAGCCGGAGAAAATAAACACGTCCTAAGATTGTTGTTTTCGTTCTTAAACACAATCAGGTACGGATTTGCAGCGGCTGGCTGCGGTACCTGAACCCGCAGGTAAAAAAAATGTTCGACATAGAATCTACAGGCGAATCTACGGGTGATACAAAAATTTTGCCTGGCTCTCGGTTCCATCATTCTTTGGGTCAAGATCAGAGACAACGGCGGCAAACCGACGGCTCCAGACGGCTGAGCGCCCCGATTCAATAATAGTGTAGGTCACTGGATCATAACAACGTGCCCGCTCCCTCTATATTTCTCTGACGGGCCGTAGATCTCCTTCCTCTTCCGGGTGAGACCTATGGCCCTACCGGCACATTCCGGTCTTATTCAATGACCAGGTAAACGACCAAGTAAAAACACCGCTCTCCACAGTTACCTAAATAAACCCCATTCCATGGAAGGTGGATTGCCCGGTATCCGTCATAGCTCCCCGAGCTCTTAGCTAAGTCTATACGTACTGCAAGTCTATGGTTGTACTAACGATCCTTATTTCGCACGCGGTCTCTTTAATTCCAACGAAGCTGGTTCCTGGTTACCGCGTGCTAACTAGCTATCCTTTGTTTTGAATCTTGGACTCGTTGGCTTGTGACCCGCCGAGCAGTCCCTTGGTGCTATTGCTACCATAGACTAATATGTCATCACAAAGGCCCGAAGCACTACAGCTTCACGGAGCTCCTCGAGCACATCTTGGAGAATGGTAGCTGGCTTCGTTTAGAGGTATACTGTAAATATGTAGTTCTATATGAGGTAGGCCAAGACTGAATAGAGCTGGAATACGCCCCGGCCTAGGTGGTGACCTGATCATGCATGGTAGCATATACTCAGTCTCATGACTACTTTCTTTTCTCTCTATCCCTAGCCTTTGCTTAAGGTCCCCCCCAGTTCCCTGTCCGCATTGTACTTCCACACATCTGCGAAACCTTCCTTATTTGTCCACCCATCTGATCCTGCTAGCTTGGACGCCTCCAGATCCTAGATTGGCCTGCATATCTCGTACGGAGATAAGTGGCTCGGAATCTTATTCAAATATCAACCTTCGTCCCAACTTCGAGCACAAGTTTTGTCTCGCCCCTTCTAAGTTTATCACATCAACATACCTTAACAGGTTCGACTGCTCTCTCTCTCTCTCTTAGGTTTCCGAAGCATCGGACCTTGCCCACCATCCCTTACAGCCCCCCATCCAAACTCTTTCAGGTTTTCTAGGTTTTTATACCTTGGGTTGTTTACTCATTATACTTCAACATCCGTGATGGGACTTAGAAGCGTGCTGGCCGGGGTGGCCCTTCTCGGTAGCTTAGCTGATGCCGCGTCAAGCTTTAGTCCTGCAAGGCCTCCTGCAATTCCTCTAGCTGTCAAGTCGCCATACCTCAACTCATGGCTAAATGTCGGTAGCGACGGTGGGAATGGAGGCTATCTTGCTGGTGAATGGCCAAAGTTTTGGAGGTTTGCTTTTCCCTTCCCGTGGATTTTGCTCTCCTTCATAAACTAACTCTTACGCAGTCAACAGAACACTGGCTGGGCAGGATTCATCCGTGTAGATGGGAAAGCGTACAACTGGCTAGGCGCACCGCCTGGCGCGGATGTGGTAGATCAAACTGAGTTCTCTTACACGTCGACACGAAGCACGTTTGTGATGAACGTAGGCGGCAAGGTTGAGATGAATATCACATTCTTGTCGCCTGTAACGCCTTCCGATCTGAAACGACAATCTCTAGTATTCTCTTACCTCGATGTTGGTGTACACTCGCTGGACGGCGCCAATCATGATGTTCAGTTGTACGCTGATGTCTCAGCTGGTAAGTTAGGCAACCCTCGTTTTGTAGTGATATATTTACTCACTAATTTTCACAGAATGGGCTTCTGGTGACCTTAACGCCATTATCGAGTGGGACTACAAATCTGCCGACGGAGTTGCATACCATCAGTTCGAGCGTCAGGACCAGGCGGCGATTTCCGAGACTAACCAGCAAGCAAACTGGGGCACTTGGTTCTGGTCCACCAAAGATGAGGATAATGTGAGTGCAGAGAAGCCCACTTAAATAACCCAACGCTGAGCAGGACTGATATGATTTCATAGCTCTCATGGCAAATTGGGGCCGACACTGACGTGAGAGGCGCTTTTATCAACAAAGGTGTTCTTCCCAATACCAAAGACACTAACTTCCGAGCTGTACAAGATAACTGGTACGTCACGATGGGGTCTTTAAGTATTGTTTTCCTGCCTCTCTTGGATACTAATTCTTTCTGTAGGCCGGTTTTCGGTTTCTCTAGCGACCTTGGTTCCGTCGGGTCGTCTACCGTTTCAACCTTGTATACACTTGGTATGACACAGGACGGCGCAATCAACCTCCTAGGAGAAGGCAGCGACCTCACCACTTATCCTGCACTGTGGCAGAGCTATTTTGACTCGGCTGTTGACGCTGTTAGTTTCAATAATGATGTAAAATATAAATATCCAGTCTAACAGTTGCAGGTGACCTTTTTTTACAACGATTACGACGAGGTTTCGGAGCTATCTACGGACTTGGATAACAAGGTGGCCTCGGACTCGTTAGCTGCTGCAGGCCAGAACTACTTGACTTTGACAAGCCTTAGTGTCAGACAAACGTTCGGCGCCCTACAATTTACAGGAACCGACGCGGACCCTCTAGTGTTCCTCAAGGAGATCAGCTCAAACAGTGACATCCAAACTGTAGACGTCATCTTCCCCGCCATTCCGCTGATTCTATACACGAACCCCTCTCTGCTCGACTACATGCTCAAGCCGTTATTCCTCAATCAGGAGAGCGGCCACTATCCCAACACTAACGCTATCCACGACCTTGGTACTTTCCCCGTCGCTAAGGGCTATCCTAATGGTGATGATGAGCTCATGCCACTAGAAGAGTGTGGTAACATGATTATCATGGTGCTTGCGTATGCGCAACGTACCGGCGACAATGCTTACCTTACCCAGCACTATCCCATTCTGAAGCAATGGGCAGGCTACCTCGTAGACGAGGCCTTGATCCCCGCAGATCAAATTTCAACCGATGACTTTGCAGGCTCTCTAGCTAACCAGACGAACCTGGGACTCAAGGGAATTATCGGTCTGAAGGCTATGGCCGAGATTTCCGAACTTACGGGCAACGATGACGACGCCAAGTCGTTCGACGACACAGCGAAGTCTTATATTGAGCAGTGGCAAGGATTCGGGCTGAACACGGCAGCGGACCCGCCGCACGCGACACTGAGCTATGGAGACGACGACTCCCACGGGTTACTCTACAACTTGTACGCCAACTCACTGCTGGGATTTGGAGATTTTGTACCGAAGTCTGTGTATGACATACAATCAGACTTCTACCCGACGGTAGCGCTCGAGTATGGTGTACCGCTCGATACACGCCACACGTATACAAAGACTGATTGGATGTTATGGGCTGCAGCTATCTCTAGTGAGGAGACTCGCGATACTTTCATCCGCCTGATCGCTGGTTGGATTGATAGCACGCCTACTAATAAGCCACTGACTGATCTTTACGATGCTGCTACCGGCGATTACCCCGGCGGCCTCCAGTTCACGGCGCGACCTGTGGCCGGTGGCCACTTTGCGCTGCTAGCACTACCGTAGGCAAAGGATGAGGTATAAAAAGAGGATTTATTAATGTTTCTTTGCCGCCTAATATTTCGGCCTATTTCCGATATTATACGGAGAGGTAAAGAGACGGGGCATAAAATCTAACTATTTTTCGCTATATTAATCCCTGGCCTGTGCCTCTCCTGTCCCCCCGCTTCGCAACCTTCGCCCCTCTCACGAATATATCATCTTCACCTGTTCAGAAGTGCGTGGCTACCTAGGTAGCTACGTCCTCCTGTTCTGTTCATACGTTATGATACGCAAACATCCGCTCTCAAGGTACGAAAGCGGTCTAAGCTACGCGCGTATATCTTAGACGTGCTGAGACGCGACAAAATAGGGGATGCTGGAGATAAGAGACGACCAATTTTCCGCGTCACCCGTTTCAAGGGGCAATACGTTTGAGGTCTACGCATTCCAATCGTTCCGCCGGAAGGATGGAAGTGAAATGGAGATAAGGGCAAGCAGGACACCGGGAATACTACGACTAGTTTCACCGCTAGGTATTTTCCCAAGCAAAGTGTGCATGCATGCATAGGCATACACAGTACATATTCATATTTTCAAAGCGACGGTGTTAGGAACCCGAGCTACATATTTTTTTCCGCAATATAAGATCTCTTGTTGAATCTTGTCTTGCATTGACTACGTAAACTTATTGGCATCTCCTAGTTAAATCTGTCTTCATAGCTTAGAGGTTTCAGTTCTAGAATGCGAAAAAAAAAAGGGTTCACAAATCTCCGGTTCCTGGTCTAGAACACTTAGTTCCCGAATATTCGGTTATTAAACAATGTCTTAATGTACTGTTATAGATCAGGTACGAACGACGTAAGGGAGTGTGAATATTGGCTATGAATGTACATACATATGTACATAGCAGCTAAGAAGAAAAGGGGTAAGGATAAACCCAGCAGAATACGAGATGATATTCCCGTGGGGTTGGCAAGGTACAGCATTGAAATCATGCATGGACGGATTATATCACATCTCATCGTCATCATCGAATCTAACGTACCGAACAAACACATCATCATCACTAAGCCAAGGCCATGCCGTTCTTTTATTTTCATTAAGAAAAAAAGTCACAAATCAGATCAGCCATCACATATATACATAGAACAATCTCCAATTTACCCCTGATTTAAGAGGTATGGAGTTTTCCTCTTTTGCCGTTCTCCAAGTATTCCCCGTCTTTGTAGGTACCGCGATAATATCTATCAAACCCCTATCTATACCACTTAATTTATCCGACAAGATAGACCTGCATTGTATTGTATTAAGTTTCCTTTCCTCGTGTCCTAAGAAAACCTGACGCGCAGCTGACGGCACCGCACATCGCCATCGTAATACTCCAAGCTTTACGGTACTACATTCATTCTATCGTGTACCTACCTATGCATGGAGTCCCCACTGTAAGATATGATATGATGTGCAAATATAAACGGTGTAAACAAACAAACAAACAAACAAACAAACAAACAAACAAAGCGACACGACCCGGAGCACTGGGCGGAGCCGCTCATTGGATTACCCCACAGGTTCTCGATCGGGCGATCATAGGTCATTGATCATCAACGAGTTCAAACTCACTACTTACACCCTCGAACTCCGTGATCTGCCCCGCCAAGCTCTTGGCGTCGCCAAAATACCGGATCCGATAGCGTCCCGGCTCCGCCCACGGGTCCGCCGTCTCCCAGGTTATTTCAACCTCGCTGGTACCTAATAGTTCGCTGGTGCGGCGCCACCGGAACACCAGGTGCCAGTCGCTGTCTTCACGGACCACTTTCCATACTCCGTCGATGAGCTTCTCGACGACGGCATAATTCCGCTCGAGGCGGAGATTATTCCTTGGGTTGGCACCGACGAATTTCGTAGTTACTCGTACGCCCTTTTGGTATTTCTCTTCTACATCTTGCTTAACATTGCCGAAACTTCTAAAGAGAGGCGGAGAATCATGAATGACATGAGGGATGAAGCTAAGACTACGGTTACTGTTATCTGGTGGTTCTGGTCCTCTAGGTGGCCGGCTGTTAGCCGACGAACTCAAGGACGGTATCCAGGACAGAGTGACGTTGATGTAGGCCGCCAAGGTGTGCGGCCCGTATAGTGTGCTCGCACCTTCGTATCGTTGAATCCTGTTTTTGAACGTAAGCATTACTGGACTTTGCATGAAATGCCATGCATCGCACTAAAGTTAAACCGAGGAGGTTCGCAAGGATAAGTCTTGATGATATGTGATACGAATGACGATGAATCTCCGCATAGGTATCGTAGCTGTAGGGGTGCAAAAAACTACTAATATGAAAAACAAGAAAATGTGCAATGAATAGCTATCTGTAAAAAGACGAAGGTATACTTACCCGTATTCTTCTTCCGTAGTGATATAATGTGTATAGCTATTTGCAGGACCACCGAGAACAACGATTGGGGAAGCCGATCGACCCTCATCCGCAAATAGCGCTGTCGCTTCGTTACCAACTGCGTTTTTCCAGCGTCGTCCAGCCATGGTTGTTGCTTCACCTGGACTGACAATGATAACCAATTGACCAACGCGGAAGACTTGTACGTCAACAACATTTGGAGTCCATTGATATGGGCTAGACACCTCACCAACATCGAGTAAGATGGGCTTTGGGGCGTGACATGCGATTTGATCCTTCGTTGGATTCTTCAGCATACCGCCTACCACACGCCACATTGGAGAGGTATTTGATGCATTGCTGTTATGCTGGGTGAAGTCGAAAGCACCAGGTCCATCAGAGGTACCGGCCGCAAATGAGTAACCCAGTGCCGCAGGGCATGTCCTGACTTCCGTCCCGTTGGGTAATTGGAACTGATGATTCGACATGTTGTGAAATGTGTGGAAGGACTTTACCCAGCCCCCTTGTACTGGATTCGGTTCCTGGTTGAGTTGATCGTAGAGCTTTTTTGCAGGTTCGTATTGGCGTTTGCCAATCTCAAAGCATGAAGATGTTCCTTCATCCTCAACCGTAAAAAGGGGACCTCGAGCATGGCAATGCTGAGATCGACCATCGCTGCAAGTGCTAGTCTCGAAACTGCACATTTGTCCTGAACCGTCTTCACACCACGCTCCAAGAACATTGGGACTGGTATCACCAACATTTGCTTGTGAGAAACCAGCAACAAAACCCTCTGCTGCAGTTTCATCACCCGCAACGCTCTTCTCAAACAAATATGCCGCCACTCCTTTGTTATCACCTGATATCAAAGTGTTGTTTCCAAGCACTGAAGTCCCATGCGTAGGGAACCAAGTAAGCACGCCAATATTTTTGCTATCCGAAGCTCGTTGGAATTTAAGCATAGTAAGGTCCTTCTCTACGGATCCGTCGTCTTCGGAACTGATGTTGTATTTTGCACGTTCTTCTTCCGGGTTTGAGAGATACGCGAAAAGGCTCCTATTGATATTGGCCCCGAATACCTTAGTAGATCCAACACTAAGATGTCCCGGCACAAGGCTTTCGTGCGCACGACGAATGGATAGGAGGGCGCCATCGACTATAGCCCGATAGCTCTGCTGGTCAAAGCCCTTGCTCGTGATCTGAGGTAACAGGTAATTGAGCCAAGCACCAGGACCTGAATGCGAATGAGTGCCCGTCACAGCCAAATTGTGATGCCCGTAGTTTTCATATTCGGATCCAAGCTCCTGTAATCCCGACAAGATACCATATCGAACGGCCGTATCACCTGACTGGGTGTCGAGGACAAGGTATACGAATCTATCGGACGGGTTGGCAGGGTCGGCTACGATAAATGCTCGCGAATGGAGTCGTTGTCGCAAACCGGTTCCAATTTGATGCGGATCGGCATATCCCATTAAGTTGATCTCGACGCAAGGACTACCATCCACGAAGTATAAGCATATTGCTAGCATTAAGTTCCTAGTTATGTAAGTGCTCACCCAGTAATATCAGCCTTTCCAACTCCAATAATATATTCATCGTCTCTACCATATGACTCTCCCTTCAAGCTCTCCCCTGAATAAGACAGCCATAATGTAAGACTCTGCGTCAGGCGTTGCGGCAGGAGACTCGCGATCAAAAATAATATCGCAAACGGTAGGAATATTAGAAGCAATCTAGGTATTAGCCTATTTCGAGTATTGTTGTCGTGATCTTGTCGCAATCCCGAGAGTAAAGGGGAGCTATCTCCATCTTTTTCGCTTTCTTGGCCTCGTGACATATTGACTCTCTTATTCTACGACACGGTCTCAAGCGACTGGGAGCTAATTATTCGGATACGACGGACAGTACCCAGTATTTCTAGTCGGGATGGGCTGCCCAAGGACCAGCAAGCGAGTCATTCAGCACAGCAACCGGAAGAGCTGGATTGACGATTGCGTGGATATAAACTAAGTGCTATAATAGGACCATTCCCAAGGGTATTATGCTGAATACCTCGGCGTAATAGTATATCATTCGAGGTTAACAAACACGTAGTGACTCAATTAAGATAAAGGGCCATAGAAACCTAATCCGAGTTAAATCATGTCTTCTTTGAAACCCATCGCGAAGGCACAGCTGCCTATGTAGGTTCTAAGTTCTAGGTACATACGACAAGTATACGTCATTAGCAGCTCAACCCCTGCCGCGAAGCCCCACTCTAGATAATTCGGGGACCCCATCGCGACGTTTCCGCCTCTGCCGGCTCCCACTGCGCTGAACACTAAACAGCTGCTGACACCTGTACGCCTCGATAACGATAACGATATCAAAATTCCCGTTCGTGATCGCGTTCTCTTACGTCTTATTCGCGATGTTCAATTAGCGACAAACCAAACAAACATAATTAACATCCAGACGTTAGCCCATTAGTAACTCTAAGAGCTCGACGTATTCGCCATGTCCTCCTCTATCCGTACTACGGTCCATGAGTCTCTTCCTTGTAAGCTCCCCAGTTCCCCTTATACAATTGCTATCTTCCAATATACCTACCTAGGTATCTACCTTATATACATCCAAACTAACATCACCACCAACTAGACGTTGACCCCGAGCCCACGCCCGCCGAACGTGCAGCCGCTGAATCCCTGATCGCCCAAGAACAGCAATCCTCCGACTCTCCATCTCCTTCCAACCTCCCCCCCCTCCCTTCACCAAAATTCACCCCCGCCATAACCGGCGAACTCACACGTATCGCCTCTAAGCAGCCTCTACGCGCAATCGACCTGACTCGGTACGAAGCCAGCGATATTGACCCCTCCTCCACATCCTCTGATCCTTCACACCTACAAACCGAGCTCTCGCGTGCCTATACCGCCGCCACATACCTGTCCGGCCGACACACACATCTACAGCTTCTAGACAGCTTCGGCAAGAATGCTTGGCTAGTCGGAAACTGGCAGTTAGAAGCTGAGCTGCGGAGCCTAGAGCAAGAACTTGACGCCGCCAAAAAGGAGATCGACGTCGTTAATATTCAGCGGAAGCGCGTTCAAGATGAGGTTGGCGGCGAGCTGAAGGGGCTCGACGAGGCTTGGAGACGAGGTATCGGTAAGGTGCTCGAGACCGAGATTGCTACCGAAGGATTGAGACAGCAAGTTTTGGAAAGACAAAGAAGTAGCGCTTGAAATTATTGCTAGATTGAATATTATATGGAAGAAGACGAGAAAATGGTCTCGAGTATGCGGGCTGGGAGACGGCGTTACGGTTGAAAATTAGAGGAAACATGGTACCAACTCATAACAGAATCACGATACCAACTTAGGTCCTGTATGGAACAAGTTCAAATAGGTAAAATGCCCCTGCTGCGGTATCAATAGCTATCACAAGTCCTATTTAATACGGAAAACGAGGGTAATTCCGAGAACGCCTCCTCCAAAAATGAATGCTGCCATCCGTCGTCTAAACTACCCCCCCCTTCCTAGAGTGTCACGTCTAATCCTCACCGCCTATACATTGGAACTGCGCAGTCAATTAAAATGTCGCGTGTAGGGGGTCAACGTCTTCAACCCCTGACTTAACACCTACGTACTTGGTTCTCCTCATGATACCCTCGACAGGTCCAAGTAATCTCTGGAACGCATTTTTGCCCAAAGTCGCAACCTTCACCTCGGTAGCGCTAATGACGTCCGCAGCACGGGGCTTATCGTCCAAGAGCGCAAGCTCACCGAAGAAATCACCCTTTTTGTAATGCTTCACCGACTCCGAACCCCCGTTCTTGAAAGCATCTGCCTCGCCGTCTTCTAGGAGGAAGAATGAGGTGCCGATATCTCCTTGCGTGATGATCTTGTAGCCCTTAGGAAACTTCTTAGTCTCCAGTGCATCGGCGATTTTTGACCTTTCGTAGGGCGTGAGGGAAGATAAGAGTGGTACCTCCTCTAGGAAGCTTTCGTATAGTCTTCTACGTGCAAATGTAGACTCCATAAGAATCCGACGGAATGTGACGCGATCAAGCGCCCATAATGTGCAGCCAGGTTCAGCAGAAGTAACAGTAGCGGCTCTCGGCGCATTGTACATCAAGGCCAGCTCACCAAAAGAGCCCCCAGACTGTATGGTTCCTACTCTGTTACCCATACCATCGGGGCCAGGTTGGAGTGAGCCCGCGTCGTTGACGTATACGTCAAAAGAGCCCCTTTCGACGATATAGAAATAGTCACCCGCATCACCTTGGGTAATAACCTATACTAATGTTAGGTTCTAGCATGGGCACTGAAAGGGGGCGATGCATACTTTGATATCCTTAGCCGGAATTGGCTTTTCTTGTAGAGCGCCCAAGATCTGAGCATTTTGCTCGTCATCCAGGTGACTAAATAGGAAGTTGCCTTCGATGGCCTTCTTCAACCTCTCTAGCTGGTCGGCGGTTTTAGGGTATGATGGGGGTGTCCAGTTATCATTAACATCCGCCACTGGCTTCAGCGATTCGGCGGAAACCGAAGTGCGACGGCCAAAGTTGTATTGAGCTGGGTAACTATCAGGATTTGGTGGCGTTCTAAACGCAGATGGGGGACCATCCAGCGACCCGTCCAAGGAGCCACCAAAAGGGCCGCGAAAAGAAGCGCTAGGTATGGTGGACACGAATGTACTAGGCCTTAATGACGGGGTTGTGGGCGAAGTGATGGTGTCATTCTCGTCTTCCTCAACTACATTTAATAAACCTGGTGGCGTGCTTCTTCCAGACTCAGATTTAGACCCATCGTTATTGAAAGGATTAGAGTTTGCCGCGAAAGGGCTCGTGAATGCTGTTCCCGACATGGCGCTGGTTCTATAGAGTGATGAAGAGCCTCGGGTTTTAAGATAGGTAGCACGTTCGTCGGCAAGACGACGAAGAAAATAGTCGGAGCAAAATTGTAGGATATCGGGTGGGTTCTTCAGCCGGACTTGATTTTCAAGAATTTCTATCTCATTTTGGTAAGCAACAGGTAGAGACATGGCGCATAAGGTAGCAGAGGCAAAACTAAGGCAATCAATGAAAGTCTCGAGGGCTCAATAGCTCAGGTATATGGTCGGGGGTATAGGCAGACGCTTTCTGAATAAGGAGCGTTCAGGCTAGTGGGTAAAGGAAATGTTGATTGTAATATTACCTAGGGAGTAACCTCAGAAGATATGGGTGCGATATACGTACGATATACGTATTGCTGACTATTGTTCTTGGTGGTTCTTAGAAATTCAAGTTGCTAGCATATCCAGCTCGGATTAGCCGACAGTTTGCTCATTAGAGGAAAACCGGGAAATGATAAGGCGCTAAGGGAGAGAGCTGTAGGTAGGAGGTAGTAGGTACTACACAAGATGAGGCTATGCTCTGAAATCTGGCGAGGACACGAATGGAAGTATGGTGGGCGCTGCGTAAGCAGGGCAATGATAATTTCAATGATGAATAACAGGGCGTGAAAGGAAGATAAGCTCGAAAAGGTAGGTATATACGTAGAAAATTAGGAATATCGGGAGGACAATAGCTGAATAAACCAGGGTAATCTGAACAAGCAAAAGGTACAGAAGAATAGCTATAGATGAATGGATAAAGGGGGGGGGGGGAGATGGAGATAAAGATGCAGGTACAACTACTTTACTTACTATTGTGAGGTACGCAGTCGACACAGCCTGGCACAGCTGACTTTGCTCGTGACTGTTTTTAGGTTGACAGTACTATTCGTAGTACTGCGTGAGACTTGTCCTTATCAAAGTAGCAAGCCTAGCTACAGCTCTCCAATATGTCCGTCCGGGTGGAATATCGTAGGAGGAATACGGGATAAGGGAAATGGGAAATGAGGAGGGGTAGGAATAAGGTCAAATCAATCAAATCTCCTTTTACTCTGAATATACCACTATAAAAAAGTGTGTACAAATATTAATTTTGTAGACGAGTGCGTAGCATGTAGAATAGGAACAGTATAGATTCTGTTCCTATCCGAAGTGTTGTCAGGTTGTCTGTGGCAAAAGAGTGACGATTGAGGGGGATGGAGTGATGGATGCTAAGTTGCTTAGGTCTTGAAAAGAAGACGATCACGAACGGCTCTTGGTTCCTTAGCCCTTGGGAATTTGGGGGAGTGGGTCTTGTTTAAGATGCCATTCCCCAGTTAAAAGCGCAGTAAAATGACCCTAAGAAGGCCCCAGCTCCTTTTTCCTTGAAGCTTCTTTGCTTCTTCGCGCCTTCCAGAAGGGCGCACAGACCTCTAAGACATCCGTGTGCTACAATTAAAGGTACCTGCTGAAATCTGCAGCTTTCCGGTGCCTATCGTACCTATATTGAGCGGTACATTGCTTTAACTTTAATTTTTATTACAGCCCGATACATGTACTAAATGATGTAATAGAATTTGACAAGACATATTGAAGGCATTCAAATAAAGCACTCAAACCTTAAAATCCGAAACCATCCGGAATTTTTTAATGCACATACATACCTAATTCGTACCTGATCGAAAAAGAAATCATGCTGATTGATACTTGGCCCCTATCCTGTCTAAAAGGTGTGTAACGCAGACGATGAGGTGCTTGTGAAACCTGTTGGTCTCCAAGCGGAAGGGGGTTTGGTTTCTTTCGCAGTCACGTCACCTAAAGATTGATGTTCGTTGGCTCCTTCTGGAAAATCTCATATCCCAATCCGATTGGTCCAAGCTCCCCAGCCGTAAAAAGGCGACACCTAACCTAAGTCCTTGACAGACTTGACAGGCAGCATATACAAGGTGCTTACATATTCTTACCCTGTTGACTCAAACAATGATATACCTATTGCTAATGCATACCTATACGTATATGCATGTACATGTAGTATTGATTTCTTTTTATATAAGTCCATTCATTTTTCAGTAATGGCTTAGTTAACATGATAATCTCACCGCTTATTTTCCTTTTCTTTTTCCGACCTTCACAGGCTCTATGCATTCAATACGACTGAGAAAAATAAATTCATTCGTAGCCTTGAAGTTGCGATAGTTGGTTCGTCAGCACAATATTGAAGTAACCGAGTTATTTCCACCATCTCAACAGCTCAGCTAGCAAGCCACATATAACTGGTAGCTATATATACAGCTGTATATACACCTGGAGGCCTATATGTAGGCATAATAAGATACGGTACATGGATAGCGTCAGAACTAGATAGGCGGATAAGTAGACCAAAATTAGAATCCTATGATCACCTGCATTCTTGCGTTACCGTCTCACCTAAGATTTCGCTTCCTAGTAGCCTCACGTAAGCCTTCTATCATATTTCTGTCACTTGAACTAAGCTCATATATTATGGTTATTGTCATTGATGCCTTAAGAGGCCACATGTGTATATGCAGGAGAAAGGTGCTTTTTCTGCGCATTACGGAGCCGCAAGCTTCGAGCTTATCCAACCATTTCTGAGCCTTGTGATACACGCTGCTTTACCTTTGGTAAATCGTCACGCGTACTTGAGGTTTTAGTAGCTAAGTTTAAGTATCTCTTACCCAAACTTACCGTATAATCGTTGAAGGTAATAGAAACAAGACAGATCTTCTAAAAAAAAAGTATATAACATTAACCTAGAATCATGTTATCGAGTAAACTTCAACTCGATATTTATGTTGTAACACATCATACATAAAGATCGGGGTCAACGAAATGTGGGAGAACTTATTAGGCAAAGATAAAAAAGAAGCGATCCACCCGCTCTCTTTCTCCTATACTATAACCCAGATAATCATATGGCTCTATTCTAGCCAGCGCTACTCAAACTACTATTAAGGTACAATGTAATACCAGTTTTTTTTATCGACCTCTTATCTGTCGCATGTAATGAAACCAACCAGCATTCCGTTGCAACTCTACGCAGAAGCTAGTTTCTCCTCCTTACACCGCTGTTCTTCCTCCAGTATTTCCCTCTGTCGGTGCGCAGCCTCACCTACAGCCTTCGCACCCTTCTTCCGCTGCCGCTCCTCGTAGAGATCTCTGCTCTTCATGATACGCTGCACGATAGTACCCGCGTTTACGTCCTGGAACTCGTGGCTCTGAACCTCCTGGAAGATGCCCATTTCCTTCGGCACAGCATACGGGTCATACGAGAGCGGCATAAACGATGTTGGTCCGTGGTACACAGCGTCAGGTGTGCCCCAGGGAGAGCTCGTGAGATATGATTTGGTTGGCGAGAAGGGGGCGCCGAAGATAACGGCGTTGACGTACTATTAATATTAGCGGGATATTATTGAGAAAGGATAAAAAAAGCGAGAAAGCGTTTGAGGAAAAAGGAAGTTACGTACCCGACATTGAAGCACGCATAGACCACGCTCATAGATATTCATAATCGGATAGTTAACTCCCTTCCAGTAGTTAATAACCTCATCATCATGAACCCCAGCAACAACGAATACAGGGCCGTAATCAGCGCCCTTGCCTCGGCGTTCGTCGATAGCTTGCTGATCATACCAGCCTTCTTTTCTCGCCAACTTCTCTTCGGTGAGAACAACTTGGTGTAGAAACTCGATATGTCCACTAGAAAACAGATCAAACCCCCCGTCGACGTAAACGACTCTCTGGCCAGGTTTTGGACCATGTCCCTTCAGTAGCGGGCGGAACGAGCCCTTCTCATCCGTAATTTCGGTCTTCGCGGCCGTGGAGGCTGACCAGAAATACACATCCGCGCCGGGATTCTTCCCAGACTCGTCGGTGGCGTACTGGCGGATTCGATTTAACATGGCGTCTCCTTCTGACTTCCTCTCAGCTTCGGTACCGCTACCCTCTTGGCCGTTGAGAACCCTCTCTAGGGATTTGATGAAGTGCGTCCTGGTGCATAACAACATACGACCGACGAGATCGGTGGTTGATATGCTGGGTGTGCGTTTAACGACCTTGAATCGACCCGCCGCCTTAACGAAGCGGTAGCAGTCCTCGCCACTGCTATCAGACGTGATATCGTCGCCATGCACTACGTACTTGCAGCCGAAGTGACTTATGAAATCTAGCTGCGTAACATACGGTGCGTATGCGACGGACTGGGTCACCCAGCGACAGGCATCCACTGCGGCGAGCCTTTTTCATGTAACTCCAGAGATCAGCAGAATGCTCTTGAAAGTGCGATCCAGGAAGAGCTATCCGTACCGTTCTCGAAGATTCATTACCGTCGGGCCTTTATTTTCCAGAATGGCCTCGTCGGAATGCACACCAACGTACAGCTCTGTGCCAAGTTGGCGCGCCTGTAGCATAGCACCTGCATGACCGTGGTGGAAGAAATCCCAGCATCCGTCGACCCAAATCCGATCATCTAGTAGCTCAGGGGCAGGTGGCCCCGATAGGACCTCTTGTTCCGAACTCATGGTAAAAGAACTGTTAACTAACGGTAAGAAAAACAATAGATTATTTAAAATATAATAGAGAGTAGGTTAGCTGGTTTAGGTAGGAAGCTGTGCAACTCGTACTTGTTTAAGTCGGCTAAAATTGCTACTTATACCTAATTAACTAACCTTAAACACATGTAGAAATTTAAAAGGGGTAAAGCTTTAGTACCGTATAACTACATAATATACTGTGTTTAACTTCCAGTTATGCATATTAAATGTGACGACCCCTCATCTCAGGATCATATCGATAAGAGCTCCGTAGCTAAGCTCCGTGACCCCACTATCGCATGCCGACATCATAAGTTCCGAGGTTCAAAAGTTCCAACCAGCTGGTTTACATGCAGCTCCCTGCCTATCCCACATAATTCCAACCTAGCCTCAGCAATTTACAGAACCTCAGAACCTCAAAACCTCAAAACATCACATAATGTCCTCGGAAACTACCGCCTCAAACGGCGGCCTAACCCCCGACCAGCTCGCCACCTTCCAGCGCGACGGGTACCTCATCATTCCTGATGCCCTCCCCCCCACAACCGTGCAAGCCCTCCTCGCCGAAACGCACAAGCTCTTAGAGGAGTTCCCACTATCATCACACCCTCTAACACGGTTTAGCACCGGCGAAAAGTCCGCCCATGTCGGTGACGAGTACTTCCTAACGTCCGGCGACAAAGTGCGCTTCTTCTTCGAGGAGGACGCCTTCGACACCCAGGGCGACTTGACCAAGCCCAAAGCACGCGCCATAAACAAGATAGGGCACGCTTTGCATGCTCTCTCACCACCATTTGCGGCGCTCTTGGATCCGGCGTTGAATCCGGATTTACTGGGCGCAGGGACTAGTGGGGGTAGCGTGGAAGCGGGTCGTAAGGAGAGTCATCCTGCGGCGATTGCGCGCGCTCTCAGATTCAGGGATCCGAGGTGTCTCCAGAGTATGGTCATCTGCAAGCAGCCGGAGATCGGGGGTGCAGTGCCGCCGCACCAGGACAGCACGTTCCTGTACACGGAGCCGCCGAGCGCCGTGGGGTTCTGGTATGCGCTCGAGGACGCGACGGCCGAGAACGGGTGTCTGAGTTTCCTCCCGGGGAGTCACCGATGGGCGCCTATTCGGCAACGATTCGTGCGCGCTCAGGGTGGAGGCACCGAGTTTGCGGATAATGAGGAAGCGAAATTTCCGTCGGGTGAGGAGTATGGGGTGAGGGATGGGCAGAACGAGGATGGTGAGTATAAGATGGGTGAGGTAAAGGCGGGTTCGCTAGTGTTGATACATGGTAATTTGCTACATAAGAGCGAGAAGAACTTGAGTCAGAAGGGGCGCATCATTTACACATTTCATGTTATTGAGGGAGAGGGGACAAAGTACGATGAGCGGAATTGGCTTCAACCCCCGGCAGATGGGTTTACACGGCTGTACAGAGACTAAGCCGACGAGGAGTATTTTGTATTGAGCAGCTCACATGAGATCAGGGGCCTTAAATTGGGTTTAGAGTGTATTAGTTATGTAGGTCGTTAAGTAGGCGAACCTGTCAATGTATCAAATCATACTAGATCCTGTAAGGGAGAGACAGGTTTCATTCCAAAGGCTCTGAGGTAGGAATCTCTCGTTCTCCAGTTATACGGATAAGACCATAACAACGTTCTGAAGGAGAACACATACTATGTTTCATTACCGTAAGACCATTAGTTTGGCATGTCAGCTAGTAAAAGATTCCCGATTTTATGATATCAGAGGATATATAGCCAGCACGCAGATCTCAATCTCATAAGCCAGGTAAAGAAGAGCTCCATTCGCCTGCCTCGTAATCAACAGGCGGTAAGCAGCAAAGCAATGGTAAGTAACCAGCAGCATAGCATGTTGGCTAACAGGTATTCGATTTGATGAATAGCTTTATAGGTCTAAGCTTGAAGACGCATTTGCTAAGACCTATATCACCTTCACCTTCACTTCACTATAAATAGGTACTGTTCACCATATATTTTTTACAATTGATAATAATATCTTGCATTTCACATCTATGTAGCAGAACAAGTTACATGTACCATGAACATCGCATTTTCTATTGATTAGGGGTCAAGAAGCCCCTTTACATACAGTTGGGTTGTCCATCCGCCGTGGGACGGCATAAATAAAAAAAGTCGCGAAGCCAATAAGCCAAGGCGGAGGCCCCTAAGTTGCGTCGTGTCGTTGCTCGACATCGAACGGATCTCCCCCTATTCTCTATCTGCAAAAGCCCAAGACGGCCAACATTATATCCTCGAATGGCTGCCATCGATTGCGATACCGTAATAAAATGTGTTATGTAATGAGTACAGGCGAAATGACCGATCCGAGTATGAGTTAAAAGTCATTTGCAATATTCGCAAGCAATGAAGAAAAAAAAAAGGCTGCTTGCAAGAATGTTTGGCGGCAATTATCCATCGTTTCCAATGTAGGGGGTTTTTCATCAGATTTCATCCACTCGTGAGCTCGTGAAAGCTTGTCCTGGAATTTTCCTCCTTCCTAAGTACCACCGTGACGAATAAGTAGGCCGTGGAACGTCCTAATCCTTTCCTAGCGTCGCTAACGCCCATAAGGATGGAAGCCTCGGCTGCCACCGCCACCTCGTCCTCCGCCGCGGTAGTTTGCACCTGGCTTCCCAGCATTCTTCGGACCCTTGGGTGCGTCGGCCGGAGGAGCATGGTTAGGATCGACCGGAGTCGGACTCTGTTGATGAGCACCCCTATTTCGGTGGAAGCCTCCACGACCTCCTTGGTTGAAGTTGGGCTGAGGCACATCGTCGTACATACCCTCCCACGAAGTCGGATCCACGCCGCCCATATTGTTGTTATTATAGGCTTGATTATACCCTCCTCGGCCTCCACGTCGACCTCCGCCGCCACGCGGAGCAAACATCTGTTGCTGATTGTTGAAGTCGTTGAATCCTTGCGGGCTTGCGTCACCTTGACCCTGACCCTGACCAGCACCTCCGTTGCCCATCATCTGTTGCTGCATCTGTTGTTGCATCTGCTGCATTAGAGCCGGGTTCATATTGGGCATTCCTGCCATCGGGCTGCTTTGACCGTTTTGGCCGCCACCTTGGGCCATCTGCTGCTGGAGTTGTTGCATCTGTTGCATCTGCATCATTTGCATCATGGCAGGGTTTACGGCCCCCATGCCCATGCCTCGGTTCATGACCATTTGTTGTTGCATCATGATGTATTGTTGCATTCGCTGCATATATTGGGCCATGACTTGAGGGGTCATGCCTCCTTGGCCCATCTGGCTGGCCATCTGGGCCTGGGGACTACCCTGTTCTTCCATACCAGTTTTCCTAAACTTGCCGCGTCTCGAGGCCTCCTCTTCCTCGCGCATATTGCCTCGCGGCTGCGCCTTCTTGACCTCGATGGGCTTACCGTGGATTTCTAGGTGAGTACTGAGGCAAGCGTCAACACCAGCTTCGCTCTCAAACGTGACGAATCCAAACCCTCTCGGGCGGCCGGTATCTTTGTCCATCATAAGAGTGGCATCAACAACCCGGCCAAACTGCGCAAAATAGTCTTTGAATTCCGGCTCGGTAGTCTCCTGGCTGACACCACCAACAAAGATCTTGCTAGTTTTCTCTTGTTCATCTCGTGGGATGGCTCGCTTCGGATCGATCTGGGCTTTTAATTAGTACACAAGCATTGGAAGTAGCCTTTGCGGGGGATTTTATCAGACTTACAATCTTCCCGTCTAAGAAGTGCTCCTTGACCATAACAATGTTCACTGTCTTAGGATCTTTGAAGGTGAGGAATCCAAATCCTCGCGATCGGCCTGTGGCACCATCTCTCATCACCGTACATTCTGTCACCTCGCCGAACTGGGAGAAATAATCGCGTAGCGACTCTAAATAGTGTATATTAGCATGGTAAGTTAAACAAAGCCACATATGTACCCGTTACTTACGATCAGTTGTTTCCCAGTTGAGACCACCGATAAACATCTTCCTACACAAACAGGATAGTTAGTATCGATTACACTAAGAATAATTACGAATTATGAAAGCGCATTTGCAGAATGCCGAAGACAAATCAGTATATGCAAAGCTTTGAGCGAACGTAATTGCCGCTTGGCAAACATACTGAGCTCCTATGCGGCTTGCCATAATCCTGGATAACCGATCCTTTAGCCTTGAATTCTTTTGGTTTATATGTTTGGCTGCCTGATCGGAAATTGGAATGATAGGTGCATCTCTGTCTAAAGTCTGGCCACTGGGTTCAGATCCTTCGTTATCAGAATTAAACGGGATATAATCCTCCTCCTTAGCTTTAGAAGCATCCATAGTGATTGATGTGGTGTACGCGAATTCTGAGGAGTTCAGATAAAGTAACGATGCATGGGCCAGCGGGGTGTAATCTCTGACAATCTGAGAAGCAAGTCCTAAATAGCACCGCTCGGCAGAAATAGAACAAGGCAGGTGATGTCTGAAATGTCGAATATTTTTTTGTTTTCGTCTCTTTGCTATCGTCAAGCTAGGACATAACTTCGAGCGCTATTCGCTGCCAAATTTCTTGTTACAGCCTTCCAGAGTAATAGTCCCTTTTGAGCTTTATGAGCCTATTTCTGACGAGTGGCTACGGAAGGCAGTAAGTGTTTTTGTACTGACTATGGTCGAACTTTTATCGCTGGTTTTTCTCTTTAAAAAAAAAAGGTAGTGATTCCTCCTTAGGATTCCTCCTTAGTCTTCACCCACTACTTCTTTCCTGTGATGCACCTCTTGAGATCCGGGCGACTGGTGTGCTTCCCTCCGGCTATGTATCTGAGAATATTGACCGACTTGGCAAGTCCATTACTAGATTTTCCTTTCGGAGACAGCTAGCGAGATAGAAACCAGTTCTCTTGCCCACCAACGTCCTCCCGGCTAAAAGGCCCTAGGATACTCAAGCGCATGCCCTTTTGATTGTCAAATGTCTAATAGGAAATCATTTCCCAAGTCAAACGTTTCGAGCATCATAATATGCTTGAAATATTGTCCGATCTGGCTTTCAGGCATTGGTGAGACGTAACAAGGCTCTAAATGAGCCATGCAACTAATAGAAACAAACAAATCTAAACAAATCTACTTACCCGTCCTCCTTAGCACTAGCACCTCTAGCAGCATGGTATGCAGAAACCGAATCATCTTGTTGAGGCTGCGCAACAGTGATGGCACCACTCGGGCCATTGCCTAAGTTGAAATCCACATCATCATCATCTTCGTAGTTCTCATCTTGATATTCTTCACCATAGCCGTTCTCCTCAGCTCCGTAGGCCATTTCGCTATGTGCCTGATCGATCTCGTGATGGCTGGGTTCCTCTACGGATTGTTGAATGTTCTGGGGAGTGGGGGTGGGGATAGGAGCAGTAGGGGCTTGTACTGCCGGAGCTGGTACTGCCGCCGTTGTTGGCGGCGGCGGCGCGGCGGAAGCATCGTTGTCGTCGTATCTACGAAAGATCAGTAAATCTGTAACAAGTATATACTAGTTGATAGGAAAATGCTATATGTAACATCACAAAGTAGGGGGCGCAGGTTAACCATACAGATCAGCAAAGAGGTCATCCTCAAAGTTTTCCGTCTCCGCCATATTGGAAGGCGTTGTTGACTTGAGTTGATAGACGCGATCGCAAAAACTCCAAAGTCGCGAAGCGGTAATCGACTTAGATTCGACCTAAAAGATGGAACCAGGAAGATTGAGGTTGTGTATCTAGCTCAATCGGCCGGCCATATAGTCCGTCTTAAGGAAAAGATATGAAAGAAGCTGTGAGATTAGTTAAATTTAGAAAGAAAAAAATTGTTTAAGGAAGGACAACTGGAAGAATGGTTGAGGAGGTGTCGATGGGAAAGAATTGCAGCCTCCTAGTTAGAATGGATGTTCACTGTGAGAAAGTCTTGAGCCAATAGGAGACGCGAAGTAGGCGGCAGGCAAACTCCATTTTTAGGTTAGTTACATATGTAGGTACTTAGGTACGTATCCGCTAATGCGCTAATGCGTTAATGTGTTCGCCGTTGACGTTGACGCACGGATCAAGATGAGTCTCAAGCTTACCTAACCGTGCACTTAACCACTTAGATGTGGGACATGGATTCACTATTATTCAAGCCACACCCACTAAATTTGTAGGTATCGGATACTTTGTTTACTTTCGAATACTGATCCTGCTCTACTACATCTTGTATTCTATATATATATGAACAATCAACATATTAAATTAGTAGTCAATATATAACACCTTTTCACCTTGCAAGCATATTATATATTTGAAGATGGGTTATGAGGAATTAGACTTATATATATCTAATGTATATATATGTAGACATAACTAATAGGTAGTACCTGCCTACCTCACTAAATCATTCGTAGTAACTGCCGAGGCTAGAGCTGTGGCTTCCCAGTCAAGCATTATCGAGGGGCATTATAGGTAGCGCTGCATTGTCAGGTTAGCTCTACAGTTCAAACGTACCTTAGGTATACTCGCCTTTTATGATGTTAGTATGATTCTCTCAGCCTTTCAATTGTTTTACTACCTGAGCCTTTCTCAAAATCTAAACTGGGTGAATTACACCCTCGTGATAACAATGCGGCTGTAATTTATTCTAGAATAAATTCCGTTGCTATGTTTTCATCCTCGGGAAGCGGCAAGAAGCCGCCGTCCCAACAGGTAAGCTCTCTTCGAGGTCAACATCTAAGGAACATTGTTTTTTAATTGACCATGACGTAGGAAATGATTCAAGTCGGTGAGTACCATCGTCTTATTATTCAACAGTGTCTCAACGCGCTCATATAGCGCCTATATTAACTTGAAAGAGACAAATTTACTGACTTGTGTCTCTCTACTTGACAGACAGGTCAGAGTAGGTTACATTGTCGCTTTTTGTTGACGAAAGTCGCCCCAGGGGTTGTTTGCTAAGTTCGAATTAGGTCGACCTCGCCGTTTTGGCGTGTCCAGAGAGAAGGCGCCGCAAAGAAGACGAGTAGAGATCCTAATATAGTAGTAGGAGCTTCTTACTCTCATGCGGACATGCTTAAGTTCGATAATTTGTACGTTCCCGACGTCTCTCTTTGTGTGGCATTTCGTTAACCTAGCGCGCCACGTTAGGAATCTCTCTAGCTCCTCATCCCGACCGAGATCTCCCCAATCCTCTTCGCCACAAAGAACTCGAACGGGTGATATTAGCTCGCCGCCGCCGAAGCATTCGTCTGGCCTATCATCGCCCCCACTGAAGTCCTATTTTAGCTTTTTGTCGAATACGAATCAAGATTGGGATGTTGGAGACCCTGAAGTACCAACCGGAGAAGATATGCTTGGATATGAAGATGACGATGGGGATGACTTTGGCCTCCCAAGTTTGTCCAACATGCAGCGACGGAGTCGACGAGCCGCAGCAGCTCAGACTGGTAGTTCTTCACACATCCAATCAACACCTCTAGACGCGGCGCTTAGCCTTCCGCAGAGACGTTATTCAAATAGTGCCGACATAGCCATAGAACGACCATCACCCACTTATCCAATGCCCAAGAAAAGCGAAGGGAAGATTCTTAGACCACAATATAAAGATATTCTAAAAGGTAGCCTCCACTCAATACTTAAATATTGTTCCGGTAACTAATATTATTTAGACCCGGCCAATGCTCTACATCTTATCGATCACCCCACAGCCCCAGCCAATGCGACACCAAAGGAAACCGATGCAATTAACTCTCGTATAACTAAGATTAACAAGTTCAAAAAGATTCTTCAGGCTAGTACTATACCATTAACGGATCTTAGAGCCTTAGCATGGGGTGGTGTTCCTGAAGAAGTCCGGGCTATGACGTGGCAACTCTTGCTGAGCTATTTGCCAACTAGCAGCGAAAGACGCGTTGCGACACTGGAACGGAAGCGGAAAGAATACCTTGACGGAGTGCGTCAAGCTTTTGAACGGGGTGGCACAAATCCTGCTTCCAGCGGTCGGTCTAGAGGTCTTGACGAAGCAATATGGCATCAGATTAGTATTGATGTTCCCAGGACGAATCCCCACATCGAACTCTACAGTTATGAAGCGACACAGCGATCCCTAGAACGGATACTATACCTCTGGGCAATTCGACATCCCGCAAGCGGCTACGTACAGGGTATTAACGACCTGGTAACTCCTTTCTGGCAGGTTTTTCTAGGCGCTTACATTACGGATTGTAATATCGAAAGCGGCATGGACCCGGGGCAATTGCCGAAAGCAGTGCTCGATGCGGTGGAAGCCGACTCTTTTTGGTGTCTAACAAAATTACTCGACGGAATCCAGGACCATTACATCGTCGCCCAGCCTGGCATTCAACGACAAGTTGCTGCGCTTCGGGATCTTACCGCTAGGATCGATGAAGGACTCGCAAAGCACCTTGAAAACGAAAATGTCGAGTTCATCCAATTTAGTTTCCGCTGGATGAACTGTCTCCTCATGAGGGAGATCAGCGTACGGAACACTATTCGGATGTGGGATACATATCTAGTATATTTCCTCGTGCCCTAATTGAGCAAGCTACTTACTAACTATATTTAGGCCGAAGAACAAGGTTTCTCAGAATTTCATTTATACGTGTGTGCGGCATTCCTGGTGAAATGGTCGTCCAAACTAGTCAAAATGGATTTCCAGGAAATAATGATGTTCCTACAGGCATTGCCCACTCGGGACTGGACCGAGAAAGACATAGAACTTTTGCTTAGCGAGGCCTACATTTGGCAAAGCCTATTCAAGAATTCCGCTGCTCATTTAAGGGGAGGTCCGAGTCGAGCCCCGACTAATCTACAATTATAGTAGAACAAGCAACCCCGCTATACATAAGAACACGGATCGTCACCATAACTGATTACTTTATTATTGGGCCCTTTAAGGTTAAGGAGAGCATTTATCTGCTTCTTAGTAGTCACGCTTTGATTGGGTATAAGACTCAGTATTGATCGATACTAAGGCTTGGTCAATAGAAGCGGATACGATTCGGGACAGTCCATAACAGTCATGGCTTCAATGGAAGCATTTACAAGACGCTTGAAACTCTTAGAGTCAACAGGATATTCGTGTTTACGCTGAAAAGCCAACCTGTGGTAATTGAGTGTTGAAGTGCCCCATTAGAGAATCCCGATCCTCGGCAATGTCCCTTTGAAGTGGGACCGTTCTAGCTATAGGCTTTTGCGGCTATAACGACTGACGACTACAACTATTTGCCATAGTGCAAGATGAACGCTGCAAGGAACCAGTGAGATAGCCGACCATATATACTTAATATGAGCAGGCATCTTAAATCAACGAAATATGTCTAGTACAATAAGCCTGTACATGTTGAATAGGCTTCTTGCACTGTGCAATGAATGCTAGTCGCGTAAGAAGTTTGTACTTGTATTACTATATGGGGTGACCACTAAACATGCGGCAAAGTTAACGTTGATAACATACTAATACGGTTGTCTAGTAATTCTAGGGCAATGCCAGTTTCGAACAATGATCTTTAAGAAAAAAGGTCTAATTAGGTCCTGCCAATACCCCCTTAAGCTCAAGCCATTAGTGGTTTTAAAGCTCCATAAGGTTTCGTCGCCACCCCTTCGATCCTAACATGGCCAAGCACCTCTCTCTTTGATATCGTCGGCAGCGCCGCAACCCACTCCCGAAAGCCCTCAAGGAAGGCATCTGCCGCAGCACGATCCGATGGATCAACCGGATCTTGGTTGAGACTTATCTGGCGCATATGAGCACCAGCCAGCGAAGCACCATGCGCCCAGGAGTTCTGCTCGCCAACGACATTTGTATCGCCCACCAGCGGCTTAATACACCCCTTACATCCATTCATCAGCACATCCAGTGGTAACCTCGGCTCCGTTGTGCTCGGACGTCCCAGCCCAACTCCGTCCAACCCGCTCGCCAAAGCATCTACCATCGCCCCGACCGTCCGTATCCCACCTGTTATAAAACACCGCGTAAGAGATACGTGTGGTACTATGAGCTCCGCAAACTCGATGAAGAAGGCCTCGCGCCGCCTAGTGCTCTCCTTCTTGTGGTGCCACGCCGGCGCTTCGTACGTTCCCCCGCTGAGCTCCACTAGGTCGAAGCGGTGCGTTTCGAGCAGCTGGACTAGGTATGCAGCTTCTAGCGGCGCGAACCCGCTGTCTTGGAACTCGACGCTGTTGATCTTGATGGCGAGCACGAAGCCGGGGCTTGTCGCGTCGCGGATCCCATCGGCGATCTCGGTAATCAGACGCGCGCGGTTCTCTAGCGTACCACCGTAGACGTCGGTGCGCAGATTCGTCGTCGGGGATAGGAATTGCGCGAATAGGTACCCGTGCGCGGCGTGGAGTTGGATCCCGGAGAAGCCGGCGCGCTCGAGGTATACGGCTGCGCGGATGAAGGAGGCTTTTATGGAGCGGATCTCGTCTGCTGATGCTGCGTGCGGCTTGCCGTAGCGGAACATGGCGCCGTACCCTTTTGTTAACTGCACGTCTGACGCGGAGACGGGGTTGGGTTGGTGCTCCTGCGCGGTCTGCCGTCCGGGATGGTTTAATTGGCCTAGGAACACGGCGCCGCCGCGTCTGCCTGCTTTGGCGAGGTTTTGGTATGCTTCGAAGCGCGGGCCGGAAAATGGGTCAGAGGGGGTTATGATCATGTTCCCAGGCGCTTCGAGATGCGTCGTGTCGACAATGATGTTGCCTGTCACGATAGTGCCCCAGCCCCCGTCGCCCCAGTGCCCGTAGAGGTTGCATAATTGGGTAGTGGGTATGCCGCTCGTGCTCATGCTGTCTGGGTCCCAGGTCGCCATGCGTTCGGTCATGGCGACTTTCATGAAGCGGTTAGGGGCTATGGCGGTGGAGAAGGGGAATGTAAGGGGTGCGCTCAGAGGTGACGGGTCGACGTCGCGGCTGGGGTAGCGGGTTGGCATTGTAACTGACTTGGTTTATGAACTGACGGCGTAGTATTAGGTTGGTTTGCTTGAGATCTTAGATAGCTTTATAAATCACAAATTCCACTTTAACGTTGAATAGGGGTGTTTTGATCGACCCAGCGACGGGCTTGTGTATCACGCGATTGCTATTCCTTGAATATACTTGGTATTAAAATATCTATTCCATCAATTTCAACATTGCAGATGGCCAGTGTTGTAATTGAATCGCGTGGGGCCAAGTGTCCCTTATCCCGTGAACCCGGAACTGCCTGAATGCGTTGGATGGACTGTTAGGATCCCCCTTTCGGCAATATTGCCTTGTGTGCGGCTCTGAAAGTTGCGGGGAAGGTCTACTTATGAGAGACTTAGGGATTTACAATATATATTTACCTACCGTAATTGTTCAGCTTGGACGTAATATATAAGGTAACTTAAAGCCAAAGGCGTCTTCTTGATGCCTAAAGCATTCCAACCAAACTAGGAGACATATGTTGATTAAACTCATTATTAGACTTATCAAGTGTCTACGATAACCGTGCATGATACCCTTGAGTGTGTTACGGTTCGAATGTGAAATTAACTGTCGTCGAATATCAATGTTTATTGTTGTATAAGATTACCTAACTAAGTCTATACTACTCTAACTATGAGCCTTAGATTCCAATTGGTATAGATACCCTACTAAGGGTACATAAGTATTTTTGGATACGCATTATCCAATAGAAGCCAAGACAACGTCAGCTTGCTTTTTGAAGAGCTTCCTTTTACGGAGTGAGTAGCAATCGTGATTGGGCTCCTCGTTGGTACTGTAGTATACAGGAAATAATCTCCGTATCTACCCTAGGATCATAACGACCATTTCAGTTATGCTACGAGAATACGCGATTATTTGACGGAGCACAAATGCTACTCACCACGAGTGTGGTGTGGACCCTTATTTTTACCTCGACTTTGTTTAAAATAAAGCTTCTTCGATGATATGAATACTTGTTGTAAGTAAACAATATAAAGATGACGTCTCTTGCGCTACGAGATTTAACATAGTCGGGTATTATTGGAACGGTTAGCGAATGGAGGGAAATTCTTAATCCTAACAATAAAATCCGCAACAATTTTTTAGAAGAAGCATCTGGACTCGGTTCGAGCCGTTAACCCCGTAACCGGTAGACGTCGGTATAAGCCGGGAGTGCTAACCAAAGATTCTCTTCGGACCCGTCGTAGACTCGGCTATTTAAAGACCGGCTTCTCGTCTTAGCTATCTCGTAGTTATTTCTAGTTACCGACTTTGACAACCATGAACCTCGGGGAGTCATCTCTGATATGTGGAGTATCAACTCTGGGTTCGGGAATGTTTGTCAAGCCCGAAGAGCCGAGATGGAGTAACACGACGGAGCTGCTGGATGACGATGGATTATAAGATGTTGTGGAGAGCTCGGTCTAGAGCATGACAGCGTTATGAGGTATTGAAGTGTTCAAAATTGAGAAGCCCGGTTAGTGCAAGATCTCGGTCATGTGCTCGTCCAGATAGGGATTTATAGCCTAGGCGCCTCTTCAGAATTACTCATTGGATAAACACGACCATTATCACGGTGGCCATTAATGTATGCATACATATATGTATATGCGTATGTATGTCAGAGATGTGGGATTATTACATAGTTACTAAGGTAGCTCGGCATAGTTGACGTATACTAAATATTTGAAGTACGCAATAAGACGAAAGTTATCCCACCGGTCCAATTATAAGATAGTAATTTAGGAATATGCCAAGGGCCCCCACTATATAAGACCGCTATAGGTGGCGGTCAGATAAGGCAATGGGCGGTAATTCACGGCTTTTACGAAGCCGGTAAGCTTTTTTGTTCAACTATTCCGCAGGCCGAAGAGCGGACAAATTCCACGCTAAACCTTCAACTCCGTCTTTTAATCTTCACTTTTTATTGCCGTTTAGTTTTTATTTTATTTTTATTGATCAGGTATGCAACAATTAGCTTCGGCTTCAATACCACTAACCAGCCCGGGGTCAAGATACCTGGATGCTTGTCCATGGCATTTATTTAGTGGAGATCTTCCCGTATAAAATGCCACTTACCTTTCGTTGCGATTTCGGATCCTTTATTTTGCCCTTGTCGTCTTGACTCACGACTCATTTTATGAATTTCGTACGAATAGTTTATAGTGTCCGAGGAACGGAAGTTGAACCATACATCTCGAGCTTGTTGGTCGTAATTTCGATATCGGCAATGTCACTCTAGCCGTTTGGTAGCCGTTTGGTAACCCGTTTGCCGTCTACAAGCTTCTATCCGCTTGTTCGCAACAAATCAGACAAATCAGACAAATCAACGGCGTCATTCTGCGCTCCACTTCCCACATGATTTTCAGCCTCCGTGTGCAACCGAACCTTCTCTTCGAATTTGTAAATTCGGCCCACACCGCAGCAGGTATACTACTAGTTCCGGCGGCTGCTCCTAGAATGGGGGTGGCAGTTGTGTGGGTGTCGGTGGGTGTTGCTTTGTTGTTCATTGTAGTGTCACCCGTGAGTACGCCCACCTGACGTTACGGTATGGAGATCATTAGATACCCGGGGCCGTCCATGGGCCCGTCCATATTGCATTGGTCCCAAGCTGGTGGAAACTAAGCCTACCTCGTCTCCCCCCTGTGGGTAGGTAGTATCTGGAAAATACCTAGGATACCTACTGTAGGCCTAGGTATCTATTTAGCTCTATCGGTCTGATCGGTCCAATTAGTTCGATGGAGAAAATGCAGAATTTTGCATCTTCTTTATCCAATTGGGCTATCTAGGTAAATCTTGGTCCGGATCCAAAGAGTTACAATGACAGGGACCACGGCATAACACGCCCTTTTCATGCAGCATGTCACTAAACCACACTTACATACGTACAAGCTTGACATGATGCAGAATGTAGAAGGCACAGGGTTCTCTTCTTTAGCAAGAAAACAGAAAAGGGGATATCCTCATTGGCTATTGAGTCATCGATCCTTTTAACTTAGTAGTGTAAGTTGTGCAGGTCGACGCGGTCTAAAAGCTAGTCTATAATATTTATACTTTCCTCTTACCTATTCCCCATCGTCTGGTTCTGTCTCTCTCTTCATTACAATATTGACCTATAAGGACAGCACCCATTGTATATTCGCGTTGCTTCCTATAATACGCCTCTGATACTTGTTTACATCATCCCTAACCCATAACCTGCACATAACTTATAGGTATGGCTCCCTCCGCCGTTGTTACGTCGACCGCCCATGATGGTGAGCAAGACGTAAACCTGACTGCTTCTGCTATCATCCACCAAACTAGTGGGCAAACTGCTCACTCATCGAACGGACACGGCAACGGCGTATCTCAACCAAACGTCCAGGAACTAAATGCTTCAAACATCACTTACACATTTACCAAGGAGCCTCGTGATGTTCCTGCTCCGGGTGTCAACTCTATCAATGATTCAACCATTTGCACAGACCACATGGTCACCGTAGCGTGGTCGGCGAAGTCCGGCTGGGAAACACCAGAGCTAAAACCTTACGGACCCCTATCTCTTATGCCTACAGCGTCAGTCCTTCACTACGCCACGGAGTGCTTTGAAGGTCTCAAGGCGTACCGTGGTTTCGACGGCAAGCTGCGTCTGTTTCGACCCGACTGCAATGCCACGCGATTTCTCATGTCCTCGGTGCGCATCAGCTTACCATCTTTCCCTCCTGCCGAAGTAGAAAAGCTGCTCTTGGCGCTGATGTCTGTAGACGGTCCCAAATGGCTGCCTCGTGACCGCCCTGGAAGTTTCATCTACCTGCGTCCGACACTTATCGGAACTCAGTCGCAGCTCGGTGTGCAGGCTCCATCAGAGGCCCTTCTATACATCATTTCCAGCTATATGCCAGTCTTGGACTCGCCAGCAGGTGGTCTGAAGCTCCACACATCGCCGGACGACATGGTGCGTGCTTGGGTTGGCGGATTTGGTTATGCCAAAGTTGGTGCAAATTACGGCCCTTCTCTTCTAGCGACGAAAGAGGCCCGCGCGAGAGGATTCGGCCAAATCCTATGGCTGTATGGCAGTGAAGGCTACTGCACAGAAGCTGGAGCGAGCAACTTCTTTGTCCTGTGGAAAACCAAGGAAGGAAAAACTCAGCTTGTCACAGCGCCACTAGATGACAGATTGATCTTAGATGGTGTTACTAGGCGCAGCGTGCTGCAGCTTGCTCGTGAGAGATTCGGCGATGAGATAGAAATTGTAGAGAGAAGGTATACCATTAAGGAGGTATTGGAGGCTAGCACGGAAGGAAGGCTGCTGGAATCTTTTGCTGCTGGTACAGCGGTGAGTTCTTCACAACATTCTTGAAATTACTGCGTGAAAAGGAGGCGTCGTATGCTAATATTTAATCACAGTTCTTTGTCTGCCCTATTTCGCTCATCCATCACCGCGGGCAAGACATCCAGATCCCTATGGGCAAGGCGGGCGAAGGTGGCCTATACACGCTCAAGCTAAAGGGCTGGCTTAAGGATATCATGTACGGAAACGAAGACCACCCATGGGGCGTCGTCGTACAGGAGGAACATTAGATCGCCTAATTTCCCCGACGTGCAGATGTAGCAACGCAGCTTCGCATGCATCTGCATCTCACGTCTCGGGACCCCAGACTTTCACAGCGGACGAATATTTCTATCCGTATAATGTCTATTGGTCGAGAATAGAGAGAGACGACAATCATAGCTGCGAACAGACCAGCGGAGCGGATATGGGGAACCCTGAAGTCTCCTATTATCCTCCCTACGAGGCATTTCAATTACACAAATCCATGCTGGCAACGCTGTACCACGATCCACGACGACATGACACAACCTGCTATCGCAGATACTATTGCTGGAAGATACATCATCATCGGGAGGCTCTTCCCATAGAAGAGGGATGGATGCACAATCGGCGTTGCGCCTCGTCTTTTTCGTCTCGTTTTCTTACTCTATCTCGCGTTTCGCTTGGGCTAAATAGGCCAGCCACCATGCTACGGGACCACGACGCACGACGGCATATTCCGCACTTACTAGATTTCTCTTTTGCCATTTGGTATTTTGTTTTTCTTCGAGACGGTTACTTTGCGTTGAACTAGAGTTTCCTGTCGTCGTACAAGGTATCGCATTATAAGGTCCGGTCCATGGCATATTCGTTTAGCTGCTTTGCTTTAAATCATTCGCGTTTGCTTCGGACGCAGCGCGGGGATGGCACAGCGAATCGTGTGGTGTAGCTGACTTGGAATAGGACGGGAGCAGAGGTAGATCACACTAGTTGGATGTAAAAAGAGCTGGGATAAAAGCATGTTGTGTTGATAGCGAATATAAATGCATACTTCAATTTAAAAAGAAGCTGTGCTGTGAGGAATATTGGATTTGACTGGACTGAATTAGTATACATGAAAAGCGATCGGGTAGGCATGCATTTTGAGCAACAATCTATATACTGAGTGAACTCCTATACATCGCAGTCCCAATACGCTCTAATGGGTTCATCCATCCGTCATAATAATCACCTGCGTAGCTTCATCTTAGTCAATTAATCCCACCCAAAAGTCACAATGCGTCCTCTAACAGCAAGACGTACCATAAGAGCTCTCAAGCGAGCCCTCCGCCACAGCGTCAACGCCCACCGCGCATGCCGAGCACGCTTCACCCGACCTGTGGTAGCGAGTAGCAGTAACAGCATATCCCGGCCAGCAGCCTCAGCGGTTCAGGAACGAATGCAGAATGTTCCCGGCCTCCTTCTCAATCTCCTTAAGAAATTTCTAGAACTCAATCAGTACATCGCGCCCGTTTACGACTTGCGGGATATCGGACCCGTAGGACTTACCTCCTCGTATGTCATCATTTCCTCTACGACGTCCTTGCTCGCTTTATCTAGATCCGTGCCGAATTTAGCCAGAGCTTCCACGTGGGAGGCTGAGGCGGATGGCGATATTCCGCTTACTACGCTGGCCCCGCTCAGACGTGTCTCGTCTGCGGCGCCGTCCGATCCCTTTCGTGACAGCATCTCTTCGCCGAGGTCCTCGACTTCGGCCTGAACTTCCGCCTAGGATGCCCAGAGGTCGTTGAGTTCGGCAGTGGCTGCTTCGAGTTTGGCCTCGAAGGTGGATATAGCGTCGCGGATTGCTACTGCGGTTGTGCGCTCGCGACCGTCTTCGCCGGTGGCTGTGTAATCGATTGTTAAGTCCTGAAGGGGTGAGATGAGTTTGTTGATTTGGGCCTCAAGAACGGCCATTATCTGCCGGTTGGTGCGAATATTGGCCTCGCTTTGTGCGATTAGTTCTGCTTCGGCTTCTTCGAGGCCGGCTATGACGGCGCTGTGGACTGTTGCGCGGAGGTTGGCGTAGCGCTCTGGGGTGGGAGTTAGTGGGTAATATAATGCAGGAATATTCAGCTTACCACCAAGCTCCGAGACTAGCGGAGGATCATGGTCGGGAGAAGGGCTAAGACGCTGTCTTCGGCTGTGAATGTGACTTGGAATCTGGTCTTCTTCGTCTGCCCTTGACCTCCTATATTTATCAAAAAGCGGGGCAACGGAATAATGCGTCTTTATATGTTTCTTGGGAGAGGGTGGGCGCATATCATCATCGTCGTCGTCTAGAAATAGGCGACGTTTGAAAGATTTCAAGGGAGCGGGAGAATCGGTCTTTAGGGAGGTTGGGATCGCGTTTGGGTGTAGGCGGGCAAACATTATGACGATGTGGGGTTTCAGATATATGAACTAGATGAGAGACGATAAGAATAAGTTGAATTATGAGAACTGGTAACCTAAGGCTTCTGTGTCTAAACTTGATATGATGAGCCTATTACCTTTAAACACGTAAGTTGTAAGAGACTCTACAATTATGAATTAAGTCAAGTGTAGGTAAAATTGAGTTTATAACTCCATGAAATTAATAATTGACCATATGCATACGGCAGTTACAAGTGAGCTACTACCGTAATTGTTATTAAGCACCACTATACTACCTTTGCTCTTTCCCTCTTCAAGTAGCCACTACAATTTTAACATTAGTAAGTTAAGAGTCATTATTATATTGGAAAGTGCTATGTTATCGTACAATTATGAGGTAATTACCTAAGCCCCTTAAGCGAGAACCTACTCCCCCCTATTCTGTCCCCGTTGGATTTGTATAAGTCATATAAGTCATGACTCGTAATTGTCACTCCAACACAAAGTCTACTATATCTATAACCCCCTACGATACTCTAATCAAAACAGGCACTGTAGCGCCTGCTGATACCCAAACATCAGGATGGCCAATAACACCGTATAGAGCCCTGAGGAAACCCGAGTGTGCCGTGAATGAGAGGATGAACTTATCATCTCTACTGAAGATGTCACGCAGGAGGGTTCTCACTCGGTCAGCAATCTCTTTCTCTGTCTCCCGACGGTCTGATTGCCATAATTCATCGGCTTCGCTAAGGGAAGGTTCGATTTGGAAACTAGGGTAATTGTCCGCAATCCAGCTTCTCGTGCTGCGACGATCACAGGTGTGCTTTCCGAAACGCTCCCGCAGATTCTCCTTAATAATTGGTTTAAAAGGTTGATCGGCTGTTACGTTTAGACCTGAGTATGTGATGCTAGTCGTCGCGAGACAACGAGCAAGAGGACTTGTATAGTACTTCTGTGGTGTCGGCATTCCTGTTGCGATCGCGTTCCGCCAGAAGTCATTTAGTGCTTGTGCTTGCTGCTTCCCCTTTTCCGTCAGCTGAGAGTCAGCCCAAACGGTACGGTCATCGCCGTTAATATGCGACCAAAACGTCTATGTGTAAAGTTAGCGTGGCTGAGAGCTACGAAGATTAAAAAGGGGCATCCTTACCTCCCACTCATGTCGCCCTACTTCGGCCTCCTTAAGATTATGGTAGCCTTGACCATGTCTGATAAGGAAAATCAACTTATACTGGACTCGGCCCTGTCCTTGCTCGTTCTTATGTTCTAGGAAACGGACGAATCGTTCCCATTGTGTCTTTTTGCCTTCTGGGTCGAAGGCTGCGTCCGTCTCATAGGCGCGATCGATCAAGCCCATGTTTGGTAACGTTATCTATATTACTATTAGCTCATGATCAGCTTTTATAGATATTATATGCTTTAGCTCACCGCTCGGAATTGTGGCCCGGTGGGCTCCTCGTAGTGGCGGAAGAATCCCGGAACAACCTGGAACGATGTGCTATCTATCGCCATGATGGTTTTTATGTTTATGTTACCGTTTACGAGTTTAGTTAACAATAGGTTGGGTTAAAAAAAGGCGACGCTAGATACAGAAAGGAGAGAGTCTAACGTTAATTCTCAGGAGAAGGGAGAATAAATAGATAAGTAGTCCTTCGGTCTAAATTCCAAATCGCATTAATTAACAAATGTGTCATGCAGTTTGTTAAGAATACCTGATACTGAAATTCAATATAGCAAGTACTTGGTGAATATCACAATATCACAACTACCTAACGTAGAGATATATATAAGCGCTTGCCCGTAGGACACGGGTGTAGCCTTGCACTGCGCCACCACAATAAACAGCTGAAGTCACACAATAAGAGTGGCCTCCAAAGGAATACTGCTTTATTTAATTTGAGTCAGCCTTTCTCCAAGTAACAAAAACATCCGGAATGCATGTCATATTGAGAACAATGGCATTCAACAATTACTGACATGTGGTGTCTTAGTAACTGTTTGACGGTAGGAAAGAGATGGAAACGACTTACTAACAGAAATAAAAATCTAAGACATACATGTCCCGACACAAAATTTGAGAATACATCATTGGAACAGTTTTCTTATTCAACTATTCCACTTCATATTCAATATTATGGTCCTAGGGCGAACATTGGAGAACCCAACCCGACTTTTGATAGAGTCATTAAAACCATTCGACTGCTCAGGATACTCCCAGAAAGAGTGAATGGGTTACTTACGTGTCGCATCCGGTCTGTCAACTTAGATACCACCACAACTCCAAAATACGATGCTATTTCATACACCTGGGAACTTACGACCCAAGAAGAGACAAATAAGAGAAAGGACGAAATGAGTAAAACCATAGTCTGTAACAACACGCGACTCTCAGTGGCAGAAAATCTCTTCAATTGCCTGACACAGCTTGAGAAGAATGGCCACCACTATGACCGAGACCTTTGGGTCGATGCAATATGCATTGATCAAGGCAACGATCATGAGCGCAATGATCAAGTCAGCATCATGGCTGACATATATAGATTGGCAGAGTGTGTGATTGTGTGGCTAGGCGCTGCTGATGAGCTTACACAAAAAGCTTCAGAGTTGATAGAGCGTTTGAGTCAACTAACGGATGATGAGATGCTCACTATCGATCCTCAAGCATTCAATAATCTACATAAGAATGTTCCGTTGGGATGCTCAAACTCTTCGGGTCACTGGAAAGCACTCGCTTTGTTATTCGGGAGAAGATGGTTTACAAGAGCGTGGGTGGTCCAGGAGTTAATCTTAGCTCGCGGAACAACTATCCTATGCGGCGATTTTACCTTGGATTGGGAGAAGATGGTTCGTGCTTCAGATTTTCTATCGAGACGAACATCTGCGAACACATTCAAAGAACATCTCTTCGACGGCATTGATCATGCTTTACTTTCGTACAAAAACCCTACGAAATTAAATGCGGTTAAGAGGGATATTAATATTGGAGCTGACAACATTATCCTTCACACTCTGGTTAGATGCCGCACCTATGATGCTGAGAAGAAGCATGATAAAGTATATTCGCTTCTTGGCCTTGCCAATTGTCCAAGTTATGATCATCCCGAATTATATCCAAATTACAATGAAAGTGTCACGAAGCTATATACTGATGTTGCCAAGTATATTCTTAAAGTCTCGAAAGACCTACATGTCCTTGCACACGCCGAGGGCGACGATTTTAAACAAACTAAAGGACTACCTACATGGGTACCCGATTGGAGTGTGAGAGAAGATCTTGGTCTTCGAATTACTGGATATACCAGATACAATGCCGCTGGCACACTGCCATGCTTCAAGAAGATCCAGGATGAAAATAAGCTAGTATTACGCGGGTTCGAACTGGATACGATTACTCGAATAGGAGAGACCAAAAAGGAGGTTAATCGTACGAAGAACTGTAAAAACTGGCTGGAAATGCGCGACGAGCTTCAACGGGAGTATCCTACTACTAACTATAAAGATGCTTTTTGGCGGACCCTCCTCATCGATACAGATCCGTCTAGAACAGTACCGATCAAGCAACCATGGGAAAACGCGTTCGATATCTGGATGGAGCTCTCCGATTACGAGCCATCCGAGACTGATAAGCATAGAGCTGCCCAATACGAGACCTCTTTCACCCATTCCTTGAATCTGCGCCTGTTTAGGACGGCTGGTGGAAGCTTAGGCTGCGGAACTTCGTCCTGCGAAAAGGGGGACCTAGTGTGGATAGTTCAGGGCTCGAGGGTGCCTCTAATCCTTCGAAAAGTGCCGCAGGCGGCGACCTACGATCTTGTTGGGGGGACCTATCTCCACGGGTTTATGCAAGGTGAGGCGTTGGATGGACGAGAATTTCAGGAATTCACTCTGTCTTAAGGTTTTGTATTTTATAATGGCCATCACGATAGGACGAATTACGGACGGATGTAAAAGTATCGGTGTAACATAGGATATGACGGAGGACTAGATATCTTGGTCAGGGGCTTTGGATGGAGTATACGGGAGATACCAATGCCCGATAGGGATATATTACCTGGAGGAATAGTGAGCATTTTTGAATCTGATATTTTTCTTCTCGCCTTACATCAAGATATATAAAACATGAATGAGGTATGATGTGATAGCCACTATGAAAACCTATTTTTTACTTCAAATCAAGCAAAGCATGTATTAGGAGATATGTAACTTTAGAGGATATCATGGGCTAAGTTAAAAGTAAGTATTTTATTTATCACTAACTTCTCCTCGCGCAGGTATATACGTCGATAGCGATTCTACCGCCAAGTACAATATATTCTGAGAAGATACCAAACTCTTCCCCAGGACATTACTCATATAATTATCACCATGTACACAACACTAAGATTACTTTTTCACTACTAGCATTCACTGTTAGCGCCTAAATACTTCATAGCAAGACAATCGAGAATAAGGGGATTGAATTTACTCACAACATCGATCCACCTAGCCATCCACTTTTCAACAGTTGCCTTGGCCTCGTCAACCAGACCGAGCTCTATACGGTTTCATATTAGCGGATTCATGAATTAAATAGGGGAGGAGAGGAGGAGACATAGGTAAGTAATATGAACTAAAAGTAATTGTACTTACCGAGAAGTAGCTGCACGCCGCCGCGGATCCCCGACTCAAGCGCGGACGCTATCCACGCGTGCGTGTATGATGTCTGCTCGCCGACGAATATCATCTGTTAAGTAAAGAGCATGTTAGTATGATAAGGGTTGAAAACTGTAGTAAAGAAAGGGGTAAGGGGGTAATAAGGGGGTACGCACATTACTATACGTCTTAAAATACTCCGGCAAATACAACTGATGCATGCCCACCGTTGGACTCGCCCAACTACCCCCCTCATACGGATCCATCATCCAGCAACGACGGTTATACTTGCCGGTATACTCGTCACGCGCGACCTGGCCGTGGATCTCCGCCATCGCATCGACCATATACTGCACATGCTCTTCCTCGGGAACCGAGACCCAGCGCGCGCCCCAGTCGCCCGAGGCGTAGGACGCTAGGATCGTTGCGGGGCCGGTGCAGTTTAGGCAGTAGGACGGGTAGCAGATCGATCCTACGCCAGGGATGTCTGTTGTTGTGGAGCAGCCGCCAAAGATGGGCTGGGGGTAGTGCTCCCAGAAGCGCGTTTTGTATTCTAGGGCTACTTTGCAGGCGGATGTGAAGGGCATGTTTTGGATTGCATTGGAGATTGTTGTGGGGAGATCTGGAAGTGTTAGTGTTGTGGAAGAGTAATAAGAAGGGGGGGTTAGGCTTACAGGGGAGCCGCATCTTCTTGACGATGGAGAAGGGAACTGCGAATACGGCGTAGTCGTACGAGGCGTTCTGGAAGACTGTGTCGGTGTAGTTGTCTCGCCATTGTAGGTTGATCTTTTGCGCGTCGTCTAACCATTCGGCTCGCTCGATCTTTCGGTTCATAGTGGTTACGTTGTCGACAAGTGGGTGAAAGGATGCTGGGAGTCGGCTTAAACCTAGTAACTGACGTGAGCAAACTATTGGGTTTGAACAGGAAAGGAGATGCATACCTCCATCTATAGTCTTCCAAGTAGTGGCTCCGAAATATACATCATCATAAATCTATGCGGATGAGTTAGTATGTGTTCAATCTCTGAATGATTGAAACTTACCGTATTCCAGAATGAGGTTGCATCGCCTCCGAGTACATCGGTGTCATTTAAAGTCGCGTTGAGATAGTTTACCATGTAAGCTAACTCGGACCTATTCATGTTTAATAATTAGCAACTTGTTGTTTCTTTTTTTTGGTGTCCATGGGAAGGAGTTCGACGTGATAGAGTGAACTCGAAGTATAGACTCCAGGGGGGAGAAGACTTACCAAGTATCACCACCAAGACCACCAAGACCATTAACTATGTCAGGTAAGTTAACAATTATTATAAACACTTACATAAGAACATCAAATACTTACCTAAAAAGTCTTTATGAGCCTTAAACGTATTAGTAGCCAACTCAATCATAAAAGTCTCATTCGAAGTAATAGCGCTAATTTTATCGGACAATGTCTCCGTTGACGGATTCATCGGATACGAGACTGCTAAAGATGCGTTTGCCTTAGTCTGGGCCACGGTAGGCGGGAGACCTGTATCCAATTTAATCCCATTGTGATAATATAACCCATTAGGATTTGACTGGATCCATGGGATGAAATCAACGCTGAAGTTCTTATCGTGGTTGTTGAGGAAATTCATCTCCCTGGCGAGTTGGAACACCTATGTTTTATTAGCTAATCGTAACCAGGGATTTCAAAACGAAGATATAAGAGAGCCAATATAAACTCACCATTTGATGATCCGTTATATTATAAGTCTCATTCGAGTAATCTATCGTCTCCGGAAACCGCATAGGGCCCATCTCTTGATACGAATAATCAAACGGCCCCCCAGAGAGATATTCTGTATGCACTCTTCCACCAAGACGTTGGCTGGCCTCGATAATCTTCACATTCGTAAAGCCAGCTTGGTGTAGAACCAGATATGTCATCAATCCCGACATGCCAGCCCCGATTATAGCTACGTCTTTCGACTTAGCTTTCGCAACATCAACAGCACAGATTTCCTTGTTCTTGAGCAGCTCGACTCCATCGAACCATGGGCCCCACGCATCGATACCAGTAGCATTCGTCATCTCGATGCTGCTAGCGCCGCGTCTCCTAAGTTTCCTTCTACTTAGTCGTTGAGTCTCACTGCGGCCGACCAGTTGTCCTTGCTGGTCCCATGCTGAGATACACCCGTCGAATCTAACATCCTTGGGCAAGACCCAAACCAAACGTGACTCCTTAGTGCTTGTGGTCTGGCCGAGAGTATGGTGTGCCTCAGTATGGTATGTATTGTCACACCGGCCGTAAGAATACGTTATAACGCCATCTATAAGATCATTAAAAGATATATGGACGTTCGCAAGGCCTGAACTGAGATCGGAACGCGTCTCGAGTTTGACTGGTAGGCGGGAGGTAGAAGCAAGCACCCCCTGGCTCGCCAGAACAGCGAGAGATAACCAAAACATTGTTGAAATCAACACCAGAAATAGGCAAAGTTACTGGTTAGGGGCAAATAAGATCTCATATTGACTGTCTTTACGCTTATATATATACCCCAGATTTTCCCCTCGTAGGATTGCTATACTGACATGTACCTACCCATCAACCCTGGCGCTTTAAGAGGCGATATCGCATGCTCATTGAACCGAGAACAATGTCATACCTATCACATCTGCTTACAATCGAGCTGATAGAGCATAGGGCGCATGGTGGATTATGGTATGACAAACGTTACTGGCTAAGCCTCATGAACTGTACGATAGCTATAAGCCTATTCAAGTAGTATCTCTTGAGGTGATTGCCTGATATGGTAGGTGTCCTCCGATGGTTAGAGATAACGGTCATCGACGGGCAACATCTAACTATCTTCGAACATTAGTTCCCGAGCGAGGAACTGGCAGCACTCGGAGGCTACAACATAAGCTGCCATATTCTTGACCGCTCGTAGTTGGAGCAGTCATGCCTTGAATAGCTCCTCGTCTGACTTGAAGGTCCCGACAAGTCGGGTAAGGCTGCGCGCCCTTGGCGGGAATTTTTATCTTCAATATTCGTATATATGTTACGTACCTACTGGTAAGCGTGCGCCCTCTGCGTCATTTCTGATCCGTGACTCGGTAAGCCTCAGTAGTATCCAATCGGCTGTCGTTAAACGTATGCGGCCACGGCGCTGGTAAGCTGGAAACGAGACTCGGATAGATAGTGAAGAACCGGGTATTACCGTGGGTTTGCGATAATTAACTCCGCAATGGTAGTGCGTCGAAAGTTGAGACGATAAAGAGTTTAGTAGTATAAGGTAACTCGAACTCCCTTTATCTACTAAGATCATGGTATCATTAATAATACCTTAAACAAACTGATAGCTTCTCTAGTATGCCTTGGCGTTAGATGACCTAAATCGGGGGATAAGGCGTACTCGAATCTTACTAGCTCGTATTATTTTAGTTATCTTATAACAATTAGTTAGTTAACCATAATGTAATATCTTTGACTTTATTGTGGCTCTCGACGATCTGATTATCATGACTTTTGGATAATACATAGCTGTACTGAAGGTTGGGCCGTAATCTTTGGATCGAGGCCGGGGTCATATCGCGGTGCTTCGTATCGGGTTTTAAGAGGGTCTATTAAGAGAATGATAAGTTGATAAGATATCGCTGTTAAAAGGAGGGGTTGCGGAACTGAAAAGGGTATTGAAATCGTGGTGCGCGAACCGACGAGAAGGTCTATAATTGTATTGATATCCCCTCCCAGCTGTTTATTATAAAGCCATAATTCCACCGAAAATTGCAAGGCTATAATATTGAGCCTCCTCTAGCTTAGAATACCAAGAACCTAGAAAGCAAATAGTCGACAGGAAGTACCGGAAATGGCGGAGTGCATGCATACCAAAGACATGGCAGAGCGAGAGAGCCTCACGACCGTAAGCTATTTACCTCCGGATAATAAGTAGTCAGCCCGGGGACATGCGGGGGAGCTCACGCCATCACCCGTCGAATTAGCGATGGAACTCCCACTCCATGTTCTTCCCCCAGCCCCTCTTAAATGCTCTGCCGATGAAGGCTATGTTTTTTTTTTCTTCCAGTTTTTGATGTACTTGATCATGGAAAAGTCTGGAAGCGAGGTTGATCATGTTGAGTGTATTTATAAGTTCAGTTTTTCCCTTGAAAATTACATAGTAGAAGCAATCGCTTCGAAACATCGAATCTAATAATTACTCGCTTTATGGCGGAAGCACTTACGCTGATTGGCGGCCTTGCAGCTATAATGCAACTGGCTGGTTCCGTGGTGAAACTAACGAGAGACTTGCGTGTTTGTGTGCATGCGATACGCTCTGCGCCAAAAGAAATCAGATCTTTTATGCTCGAGAGCTCCATATTTACTGACCAACTCTGTTATTTTCATGAGGTCGCGAAAGAATCCGCAGCTGTAATGAGTGAACATTCTAAGGCACAGAGAGCTGAATTGGTACAGAAGATCTTGAGGCAGTGTAAGTCCGTCAAAAGAGGGTTCGCTCGCCTCGTCCGACGCTTTATTGACGTTAATGGTGCCGACACGGCGCCTTTAAATACGTTCTGGGCACGATTGCTGTGGCTTTGGAAACGGCCGGATGTGCCAGAGTTACGCTTAAATCTTCAAAGCGCAATAGCTAACGTCACATTGCTATGCAATTTATTCATGTTTGAAGAATTGAGGAGAAAGAATGTGGATAGCGAAAAGCTGTACGTCGCATAATCAGATAGACTAAGATTTCAATGCTGATGGTATTAGTGAGATGCTCCAGGCACGGCTTCGAAACTGGGTAGCGACAGCTGGGAAGTTAAGATGCGAATTGGTTGAATATAAGAACCGCAAGTCGCCGTTAGGTGTACCAGAAACGGCCCCAGAAGATTCATATGATATGATCGCAGAGGATAGCCACCAATTGGAACGATATGTTGTCCGTGCAATCCGATCATATACTCGGAGAGAAGCTCTTTCAACAAGTATAAGGCCTTCGCGTCGAGGACCCCCAGGTCCAATAATTCAAGAAACTCAAGAGGCTACAGCTTTGCCGAAGTCCACAAGGTCGGGTGTTCGGGTAGAATCTTATGAAAATGGCGTTTTTAAAGAGTATATAATACCTGAGCGGCCCCTAGATAAAATGGATGGTATGTATGATAATTATTATGCTTTTTGCCCTAATAGAGCTCTGAATTGCGTTGATACTGACTGTGCTCAAGAGGAACGAAGCCCACCAAGAGCCCGAGAAGAACAGCCGCCAATAATAATACCTAGTGAACAAGTTTCTGAAAGAACAGTTGGTGATATAGTGAAATATCAAGGCCAGGGCGTGTTCTCGGAGATTAGTGAATCCCCAGCAGAGGTAGCTGATCCGAATACGAAATTAGACGCCGCTATTGAAAACGAGGCTCCCAACAAGATTCCGCAAACAGCCAGTCAATCTCACATTGAAGAGGAACTACCGAGAGTAAGCGAACAAGACTCGGGACCCGAAGAGTCCGAGTTACCCAAGACCAACCCTAGTGAGCTATCCAAAATACCTTCATGCAGTTATTTGGACGGGCGGTCAGAGCGAATGGACCCATCAATAGCCTCTAAAAGCTCATCAGCCACTGAGATGAAAGTCTCGGATGTTAGCTATGACAACTCGAGCGAAGAGAGCCGTGGGCCATATATCCCGATGGCACCTTTTGGAGGACCAAGGTCAAGAAAGCGACCACGACGACCAAGGCCACAGTCACCTATAGACTAATAAGTTTGAAAAAGATTGGTTTTTGGTTAAATTATTAGAGTGTTAATTAATGAATGTGGTTTGGCGCTTTGATTGGAGAATATAATTGAGGCTAAGGGAATCAAGCAATCATATGGATGGTTAGCGTTTGATGTAAGTTCGGGGCGTAAGTTTTTAAGACGGGGGCATTTGGAATTTGGAATTCAATTATGCAGGTACAAAATATTAAGATACCCCGATTCCTAGGTGCATAGAAGGTTCAAGGTTGTTGTGCAAGTACTAATGAGGTATATGGGTCATTGCGCAAAAGCTATGATTGGTCAAACATTTTTTGGCCAGCTCAACGCTGCCCCTGACTACCGGGAAAAACGGGCTAAAAAAATGACCCAGACCAGAATTAAAAACAAAAAAGTACCTTAACACACTCCAAGTTTAACCCCGAGAACGATCTCTGGATGGAACTCTCAATTTGCTCCCTGACCTTTTAATTTCTAATCCTAACTGACGAGCTTCTTTATAAGTCGCCCGTTGTCCATTCATTCGCACATATTTGATTTATTCAAAATGTCTTCAAGATATTCTTTACGTGCAACTCCTAGGTATGTACTTATCTCTATCGTGGTGGTACGAAGGAATGAGGAGATAATAAAAAAGGAGACTTCAGATGCGATGGAGTAAATGGCGGCGGCGGCGGTGGTGCTTTGAGCGCGTCATAGATTTGCGACCGTGAGGAAATTTTTACTGATATTTCGATTTATCGTGTAGAAAAAAGGAACTATTCGACGGTATGGTTGAGACTCCTAGCCGCCGCGCGACGCGACGTAAATCTCAGTTCCCTCCTATTGCAGACGGCGCGTCCGACGACGGCGACTCTAGCTCTGCTGCCGAAACAACTAGATCTACTAGATCTACATCTGTACGGCGTCGGGGAGTTGGCAAGTTTGTCGAGCACATGGACGATTCGGATACCGCGTCAAAAGAGGAGTTCAGTCCCGTCGCTAAGGAGAAGCTTTCTACTGTTATGAACGGCAACGGCAACGGCCATGGTAATGGCAAGGCCGATATCAAATCGGAACCGGTAGAAAATGGTTATACTAACGGACATACGAATGGGCATACAAATGGACATGCCAACGGACACGTTAAGGAGAAAGTCGTCGATGGTTGGAAGCCAGGCATGGATCCCAAGGTTGATCACTCCGGCGTCTTCGAGTTTGGAGGTAGTCTCGGTACTCTAGCCCTTATGATCGGATTTCCGACTCTTATGTGGTATATGTGGGTTGGCGCAACCTACTACGATGGCAAACCCCCACTGCCGCTCGAGGGGGAGTCTATTGCTGACTTCGGCTGGCGCATGTGGAATCACGTCTACACTGGCGCTTTCCCTCACCTTCGCGCATGGAGAATCTACTGGACCTACATTATCTTCGAGGCCGCTTGCTACTGTCTTCTACCTGGAGTCTGGGGTTATGGAAAGCCTCTTCCCTTCGAGGGAGGCAAGCAGCTTCGGTATTACTGTTCGGCGTATGCTAGTTTCTACTTCACCATTGTTGTGATAGGCGTGCTGCACTTTACCGGTTGGTTCAAGATCAATACCCTTCTGGATGAGTTTGGTCCTCTCCTATCCGTCGCTATCCTATCTGGTTTTTTGGTCGCTATTGTCGCATACTTCTCGGCGTTGATTCGGGGCGCTCACCACCGAATGACTGGCTACCCTATCTACGACTTCTTCATGGGAGCCGAGCTGAACCCGCGCATGTTCGGGATCCTCGACTTCAAGATGTTCTACGAAGTGCGTATTCCCTGGTATATCCTGTTTGGACTATCCTGCGCGGCTGCGGCTCGGCAGTACGAAAACTACGGCTACGTTTCGGGTGAAGCATGCTTCCTACTTATGGCTCACTATCTCTACGCCAACGCTTGTTCCAAGGGCGAACAACTCATCATCACTACCTGGGATATGTACTATGAGAAGTGGGGTTTCATGTTGATCTTCTGGAACATGGCTGGTGTCCCTCTCTCATACTGCCACTGCACCCTTTACCTGGCTAACCACCACCCGTCGGAATACGCCTGGAATAAGTACGCTTTAGCCGTGTTCTTTGTCCTCTATATTTCCGTGTACGTCATCTGGGACCAAGCCAATGGGCAGAAGAACGCGTTCCGGGCCCGCGAGCGCGGCAACCTTGAGAAGCGCTACGCTTTCCCCCCGTTACCGTGGATCTACATCGACAACCCCAAGACCATCGACACGCAGACTGGCGACAAGCTCCTTGTTGACGGATGGTACGGATATGCGCGCAAGCTGCATTACACCTGTGATGCATTCTTCGCCATCAGCTGGGGCCTGATCACGGGATTCAACAGCCCCTTTCCTTGGTTCTATCCGTTCTTCTTCTGCTGCATGATTGTACATCGTGCCAACAGGGATATTGAGCGCTGCAGAACGAAGTATGGCGATGCGTGGAAGGAATATGAGAGACAGGTACCATACTTGTTTATTCCGGTAAGCACCTTATACCCTTACAGAAAAAAAACCCCCAGATTTTTATATCGAACATTGCTAACTATCTGCCTCTAGTACGTCATTTAATACTTCGAAAATCGAGGTTTGGCGAACATCATTCAACTTATTGGATTCTATCTCTGGACGACGCATTGGCGTGTAGAGTCTATACCCGCTAGCAATTTTTCTATCTGTACATATTTGAGATTGCCCCCCTATAATTTTTTAAATCGGCTGCAAGCCAGCTAGCAAGAGAAGCATGAATGATGGTGATGGGAGCATGCTGCAAACGATTAAAGCCGGAAGGAAACCTAAGTAACGCGGCTACAATAGCCCCCTAATATAATATTAAGAAAGTAATTATGTTGGAAAATCATCGTGATCTGTTGATTCATTGGCGATGCTATGCTATGCTTTGCCCCCAGTCATTAACTATAGTCGTGTCTAATTTATATGCGCTATCTACCATGCAGGTGGCAGAGTGCATGGTATTTGTATATGTTCAGTATTTCATTCAACAATATCCATCTATTAAAACATACACTCCCTCAATCGTCCCGTCCCTCCTAACTCGTACTCGACCCAGCGCCCTACGCCCCTACGTCCCGCAACTAACACCGCCCCAGGGTTCATAACGTGACACCCCTCATACGTAACGCAAAACGGTGGCGCCGTCGGATCTGCAAGCACCATTGCCGTCGGTAGGGGGTACAAGTACAACGCGCTCGCGTGGTCCCAGTGCACAGGGCGAATCGCATGACGGAACGGACATAAATACCCCTGATCCAGCATTGTTTTCACCAGCTTGCGCGCCGTCCGCACATCGTGCGGGACTGAGGGTTCCGCGCCCTTGGTGGCGTCGACCTCCATTGCGTCGGTGCTGTCGAGCGTAGCTTCCATGTCTATGTCGTCGTCATCATCGTCGTTGTTGTTGCTAGTAGGTTTTTCATGCCGATTGCCCTCCGCATCCGTGGTCGAGGAGCGTAAGCGCACGGCGGTGCGGCGCATTCGCGCTGACATGTCGTCGCGGAACAAGACAATCTCGTGCGCGGGCCCAAAGACGGATAGACGGGAGGGATTGCTGGTCCAGATAGCCTCTCCAGGGCATCTTTTGCTATTGTCGGGTAATTCTGCGTTAGCAGTGGCGAAGGCGCGGCGTACGCGGCTCGTGAACATATCGGGGACGGGCTTCCGGGGTAATGGGACGGCGGCACCGGCGCCGAAGGACGAGGCCCAGCCGTCGTTATCGCCGGGCACAAATATGAATGTGGAGGATTGGAGGAGGGCTGGGAAGTCAGATAAGACGGACGCTAACGCGTCGAAATGCTCTTTGTATTCAACACTGCCGCCACTGGCACCGCCGCCGGCCATCACGGCGTGTTGCGTGAAGTTACCTGTTAGCACGAACGTCATTGGTGTGCTTCCCTCGGGTTCTGTCGAGTAGATGGTTAGGATCTTGTGTAGAGCCTGGAGTGCTCGTGGCTGATCGAGATTAAGCTCGCCTATGACGATGATGCGGCCGCAGCTAGGAGCGTCGACATCAGGATCCGCTATAGATGATTGGGTTAGACGTGGCTTCCTGAGTATACGCTGCTCGAGTTTCCGCATCTTGGAACCCGCGGCGCGCTCGCTGCCGACGCCTAAGAAGTCGATCCAGCCGAATCCACCTCCTATAGTGTGGTCGTCTAGCCCGCTGACGCCGAGAGTAGCTTTGCGCTTTTCGCAGGGGGGTTGTCCGATGAAGAACCCCTGAAAGCGGCCGCCAATGATACCACCTACACCATTATTATTATTGAGTCCCCTACCAGTTGATTCTTCCTCTTCCTCGTACACGCCATCTATCAACACTATCATCCCTGGCGTGAACCAAGCCGAATCTTCCGGTATAGCTACGGCTTGTGAAAGGTCTAAGGAGATAGTTCCCGTTAAGTCGTTAATTGCAAGATTTCCAGTTGGCAAGACTGACAATAGCCCAAGAAGCATATGATGGCTACCATGGCGGCCAAGCATATTCGCAATTGGTGTGATTTTATAGGTTTGCTGGGTGGTTAGATTAGAAGAGGCGGATCGTTTTAAGGATGGGGCGGCCTTTGTAGTTGCTACTGTCGAGCTCTGGAAAGATTCATTTCGGAGGAGTCTCTGATGTATAACATTGTATCTATTCCGGAAGAGAGTCGTTTTGTGGGCTGCTGGAGGCATTAAAGATGGTTTCGAAGGGTCCCTGTAATTACTATAAGCCTTGATACTTAATGTATGATCATGTAGAAATATTCATACTTTTCAAAGTGTTTCTTTGTTACATTGTATAACAACCGTGGTTGGTCATACGCACTGATGACTTTCAACCATTTCCTCGGATGCTTTAGGCTCTCGTCGTCGGGCTCATCTTCCTCAACACCGAGCCCTGACATGCCAAAACTTGTTGCGCTGTCATTGCGTGTTAGGGCCTTGTTTGGCCTCAGTCCTAACCTTGTATTCGTTAAATTGGCCTCCTGACTGGAGTCCAAAACCAAGCTATTTTGGCGATTTAATTCTCGTCCTGTCACTATCCTGCCACCGCTCATATTCCCCTCCAACGTTTTTAGAATATCTTTTAGCTCACTACTAGCACCATCTACTATTACGCCTCCATTTCGATTTTTCCAGCTTTTTGCCGTCTCTTCCAAAACCTTCTCCGCCAGTCCTTCTTCGCGCCATCCCGAACCGCAATGTCGACCAATGAAGGTAGCTAATTCTTGTAGCGCGGAGGACGTGAGGGTTAGGCTATGCTTTTTCGTGAAGGTTCGAAATGCTAACGGTCTCAAAGTTGCTGGCGGTAGAAGGATTGGGAGGATAGTAGCTTTGGTAGGTGGTGCAATGGCAAACGGCTTAAGTGTATGCGCTGGCGTTCCAAAGGCCGGAGATGAAGACGGGATGGGATTCGAAGGAGCGGGCGTTTTCGGCGCGAACATCGGCGCGGCAGTACGTTTGTTTCCTTGCATATTGAATTTGGCTAGATTGTCCCAATTGTCATTTCTATTGCCTTGTTACAAACTCTCCTCAAGACGGCGGTTGATATTTCGATATATTTTTAGTTGGAGACGCGTCCAGCGCGTTTTACGCGTTAATGGGCAGTAAAGGTCACTAATCGATGTGGGGCAGAATAAGTGCGTCAATGGAGAAGTTACGAGTACCCGATATATGCAAAAGCCTGTCCTTATCAGAGTCTTATCAAAGTACCTATACTCAATACTAGCTCTACATGTACGTACCTAACATATGTAAAAGCTGCAGCTAATACGTCAGCAAGACCAAATAATTATTATTATCAAACTTTTATAACTTCTTCCCAACATTGAAGTTCCCAATTGACATACGGGAGATGCGATCAAGCTGATCTATAGTATCAAAATGTTACTATCACGAGTTCGCATAGCTCCTACCTATAGGACACTACTATCATATAGAAGTGTTTCTACGTTAAGCACCAATTCCTATATAGTCAGTAGCCTCTCCAATATTATATCCAATTTACAGATCAGTTCGGTCTTACTCATATGATTGTTCTTCAAGAAAGTTTTCCCCAATGCCTCAGTAGACAATGGGCATCTACTCACATATCTCGATACCAATCCGCCAAAACACAGGCTGGCCATTGGCTCTACAACTGCATTGCCCCCAACACCTAATTCCTTCTCCGAGAACCGCGAGTTTTTATCTATCTTAACCGATGTCCTTCGCAAACATGCCGCACAAGATCCCGGCCTTCTATCCCAAGCCCAAGCTTTTGCTGGCCCAGGCGGCGCAACTCTTGGTTCAGGCGGCGCATTCTTTCCCCAGCAAAGAAAGCACCGTAATACTAGAGGAACAGCCGCTGGACTAGGTGGAGGAGGTGGCGCTGGCGGGGGCGGCGCTGGAGGAGCGAGTGCCCAAGGGGGTGCCGGGGGTGCTGGAGTCGGAGGACATATCCATCTCAGTGACCTAAGAAATCCACCTGACTACGGCCGAATTGCGTGGCCGGAAGATATTCTTGGCAGCATCGAAGTCGATAGGTCTGGAAACATAATAGGAGAATTCGAGCCAAGTGGGACATACCGTATTATTACCAATGAGGGAATGTAAGTTTTTTGGAATCTCTAATTAGAAACACCGACTTTGACTAATTTGCAACTTAAAATAGTTTGGGCTTGAGCGATTTTCTTAGAACAAAACTTGTTGAGAGGCTGAAAGAGGAGGAAAAAAGGCTGTGACACTATATTAGTGACATTGAGGTTGAGAATCTTCGAGAAGACTTTTGAGACACCATGAAGCATGGCGCACTCGACTGCATATGTTCCTACCTTGGGATGTATTATATAAAATCCGTTGTACACATCCAATACGAAAATATAAATTAGTAAAATTCTTTTGTATATTTGTCTAATGCATGTAAGATGTGCGCTCGTACGTTTGCAACGTGATCTAGATGCAATGCCATTGCTTACATGTTCTTTTTACGAGTATCTGCACTTTGATTTAAATGTATCTAATTACGCAGAATCACTAATATCAATAATGATTAAATGAATATACTTGAATACCTATAAGAGCATGTAATGTATATGTACCTAAGTATACGCCCCTTAACTATAACACTCCAAGACATGTTACTCCCGGCCGAATTAATATGATTCCTATAACGTCCTGTACTACCAACGTTCAATTTCGTCTCCCGAGGCTACATTATCTAACCCTAATTCGATAGGAAGTACATGATTAGTCCTGTTGTCTCACAGTCGAGTATTACAAGTTCCTAGCCATAAGACGGGCCCTGACGATAGCTGCCAATTAAAAGCAATATCCGTGACTTGTGGTACCTTCTCTGTGTAGGACAGCAAGAGCAGGCTACATGTATAATTCGATACTGACATGTGAGATTTAGTTAACTTTTCAAGGAAATCACATTCTACAAGCGTATTAAATAATACGGGGCAGCACGTACTTTTATTCTCTTGTTGTTTAAATCTATTACTATTTCTACATGTGCATTATTTTCTCCTTTTCTTCAACTTTATCAACCCAACTCTACACTGTAGTATAACCAATTCCCACGGATGCTTGGGTTTAGCAAGATATCAACAGTTGAGGTAAGCTCATACTTATCCATATTTAACAAATGGTCTAGAACAATTCAACAAGGTAGAAAAGCTTATCAGACCGGACATTCAGCCTTCTGAGGCTGTAGTTCAACTCTGAAGAGGTAGAAGGCTGACCTCATCTGACAGGACTTAGGTTTAGTGCCTGGATTATTACTTGGGACCACACGAAGAGTGCATTGCATGCTCTTTGATGTTTAAGTCTAAAGTAGCCAATACATCAGAATATAGTAGGAGCTAAACCTGGGATTAAGTACTGAGTACTATAACCCAGCTAGTGGCTACACTAATAAGGCTGCGTTTGGTGCCAAGATTCAAAGTCTTGCCAAGCGTGCATCGCTACCCTAAAGCTTGTACTCCACTCCCGTCCCCTGTCCTCCGACCCCCCGGCCCCCGGTCCCTAGTTCGAGAGCCCCTCGTTGTTGGACGTAACTTCATGACGATCTCATCAACCTCGCCATCATCCAAATATCGCCAACCACCATCCTCGACAAGATGGCCTCCCGAGCGTTTGACGAAGAGGAACTCTCAATGTCCTTATCTCCTTCCATGATCCGACCGAAAAACAATGGAGCTCGAATACCCGAGATTAACGTTACACACCCAACCGCCGACGGCTCCAACGGCAGGTCTCGAGCCGGTAGCATACTTTCCGAGCAGACGTCGCAGAACCGAGAAAAGAACAAAACCGACCAGCGAATCGGCGCTTATAACATTATCAGAACACTGGGTGAAGGCTCTTTCGGAAAAGTCAAGCTGGCTGTCCATAGGTCGACCGGCCAGAAGGTCGCACTCAAAATCATCGCCCGTAAGAAGTTGATCAGTAGAGACATGGTTGGTCGCGTCGAACGAGAGATCGAATATCTACAGCTTCTTCGACATCCCCATATCATCAAGCTGTAAGTTGTCATTGCTCGCCCGAGACATTAACCCCTCCAACTTTGATGAAATTATCGGATTATTGTTGACCCTTGACAGATACACTGTGATTAAGACTCCAGCCGAGATTATAATGGTCCTGGAATATGCCGGCGGCGAACTGTTCGACTATATCGTCAAACATGGCCGACTGCCTGAAGACCAAGCGCGGAAGTTCTTCCAGCAAATGATATGCGCCGTCGAGTACTGCCACAGGCACAAAGTAGTACATCGAGACTTAAAGCCCGAAAATTTACTTCTCGATGATAATCTCAACGTGAAGATTGCCGATTTCGGTCTGAGTAATATCATGACAGATGGGAATTTCCTCAAGACTAGCTGTGGTAGCCCCAATTATGCAGCCCCAGAGGTCATTAGCGGAAAGTTGTATGCTGGGCCGGAAGTCGACGTGTGGAGTTGTGGTGTCATCTTATACGTCTTACTAGTCGGCAGACTTCCTTTTGACGACGACCATATTCCCAGTTTATTTTCAAAAATTCAGCGGGGTGTCTTCACAGTCCCTCACTGGGTCCCCGCCGATGCGGCGAATCTTATCCGAAAAATGCTGCAGACTAATCCCGTACAGCGTATTATCATCGACGATATCAGACTAGATCCCTGGTTCATGAAGGGACTTCCCGCCTATCTTGCCCCGCCTGTCGAGGAATTCTTCAACACTGGTGTTGACCCAAACAGGGCTATCAGACCAAGTGATATTGCGCCCCATGCCCCCGCTAAGGTGCAGGAGAAACTTCATAACGAAGTAACGGAGAAGATTAGTAAAACGATGGGTTATGGAAGACGTGACGTTCAAGAAGCCCTCGAAGCTGATGAACCTTCTGCCATTAAGGATGCGTACATGATCGTCCGTGAGAACAAGCTCATGCAAGTAAACCGTAAGTCATCAACTCTTCCTTCAAACTTTAAGTCTTTAATTATGATGGAAATTTGTACGGTCAAAATCCATGTTGTCTTTTATTTCAAGGTATTCTTCATGGGATTATCCCACGGTAATTTTGAATGTTACTGACTGATTGTAGCTGCTTACGGCACGGGTATAGATAACCCCTATTTTGCCACGTCTCCTCCCACTACAGATGGCGAGGAGCAAATGCGCAGTGTCTCGGAGGCCATGGGTAGTATAGCCCCAGATGGTCGGCGGGATTCTCAATCGGAATACATGAGCGAGTCGCAAGCTAGCCCCCTGGCCGATTCTGCCCGCTCTACTAGCTCGACAATTACCAGCTCGTCTCCTAGAGGATATGTAAGCCACGTCGGAGTATTACCAACAAGTCTCCCTTCGCTGCACAAGAAGTATCTTGAACGGCAGAGTGCTGGCGTCGAAGAACCGTTAGATGTTCAACCAGTTCCCGACGTTCCTCTTCAGCCTAGAACGCCTGCTGAGCAGCAAGAAGCGGCCCGCCGCCTCAAGCCTCATTCTAAAAGCGCTATGAGACTTGATGAATCAACTCACCCGCAAACAATGACCCCAGTTGCACCCAAGAGAACCAAGCAAGTTCGCTGGCAATTCGGCATAAGATCCCGAAACGCTCCCTTTGAAGCCTTATTATGCATCTACAAGTCTTTGTCGAAACTTGGCGCCACTTGGGTTGTAGACGAGGACTACGAGAAGGTGCATGGCTCAGAATCGTAAGTATTGTAATTATCAACTGCTTTATTTTTGCCGGGTTATTGACTGTGCTAGGGACCCCTATGCGACCCCAACACCAAACGAAGGAGACGGACGTAATCCGTACGAGAACTTATCACCTGACGATATTGACCTGGATAAGTTTGACCCTATCAAATATTATAGGCTACCCGCCGATCCTTGGCATATAGTGTGCCGTTGGAAAAAAGATGGTAAATTTACCCGCCCGATTTGAATTTAATAGATTCCAATCTAACACTTTCATAGATATCCGAAAGACATCAGTCGCTTCTGGTCATGCCACTGCTGACTCTATTTCTGACGACAATACTTATGTCTACTCCGTTATGGACAAACGCAAACAAGACTTCGTCTGGATGCGAATGGACATCCAAATTTATGAAATGGACCCAAAAGATAAGGTCTATCTCGTGGACTTCAAATGTACGGGCTACGAACGGCTCGACGGAACTCTACTAGAGGAAAAGGCCGTTATGAGCCCCTTTCCTTTCCTCGACATGGCAGCCAAGTTGATCATGCAGTTGGCCGAGGCTGATTAGAAACACCCTCCTAAAGGAACATCTGACCCCTTACTTGAATTTACTGATGACGGAATCACCACCACCTTCAAGGACTTTACAATTCGACTATCTTGAATTTTCGATGATACTTTTGAATCGGTATAACAATTCCGATGAAATTGGTGAATTACTTGGCCATAGAACACGACTAAGGGGATCCGAGCTTAATTTAGGCATCAGGTGTTCTTTTTCTTCCTACGAATTTATTCCATTACTTTTCTTCTTTCGCATTCGGCCTGCGCCAGCCGTGGACGAAGACGCACCCCTTTTAGACATACTGGACACTCACGAGCCCTATAACTTTGCGCCGAACATAGAAAATATTCGGCGGCCCAGGAGGAAAGCAGGCCGACTGGATGGGATTATTTTATTTTATTTTATTTTTGACTGAGGCGAGAAAAGAAAAAAATGGAAATGTACGGAAAGGAAACCAGGGACAGCATCTGCGTTGGAGTTTATTGAATGAAACGTAACAGGGAAACGAATGGAGTTTGTTATACCCCCGAAGAAGGAACGCGAGGATTCTGCGTGGTGGAGGAGGATAGGGAAAGAGAAGGAGGAAATAATGCACGTGGGGCCTTTTATGTCGACTTTAGTAGTAACCTACTGTAACCCGAATGAAAACCTCACTGTTTTTCTCATGACAGGGTAACAGGACTCATTGTCTCTAGGATTCGTTGGTAGCTAGTAGGTAATCGCAAGGACTAGGAACCTTGATCAATTTGACATTCGGTATTCACACATGCGGCTCTTCTAAGACCACTACATTTATATCCTCATAGGTTAGATATGTGATATATGTCAACTAGATACATCAGTCTATCTACCCAAGCATAAATAGTATTTCCTCTACCCTATCCCCTCTGAGGTCCAAAGTCCATGTACAAACTACCCTTAGCATCCGCAACACCGACTTCCTCCTCTCTCCGAGCGTCCCTTACGCGCTGCTCCGTAAGCTCGTATTCAGGCGGGAGATCGATCTCCACGGTATCATCGCCATCTCCAGCAAGTAACATGTCGACAGCCGCGCGCGCTGATAACACCGCGTTCGGCATCCCATGCCCCGTATACCCCGCGCACAGCCAGAGTCCCGGTCCGCCGCCTAGACTAGGAGGGACGGGCCCGACCCACGGGTGCGCGTCCCGCGTGTATCCCATTATGCCGCTCCATTCGAAGGTAGGCTCTAGGTCGAGTTTTCGGAGAGGGGGTTTATGGTCCTCCGAGGGGGCATGGGTGTGGGTGTGGTGCAGAGATAAATCAATCGCATTGGATAACTCGCCGCGCAGATACCACGACACGGGCTCGTCGATGCTGCTGTCGTCCCACACCCCCATACCCCGCCCTTTGGCATGTTGTCGGCCGCCGCCGAAGATGAGCTCCGCGGTAGGGGGAGGCCGCTGGACTAGGTAGTCGTCGCGGGCGTAGGGGTCGACGGGCTCGCCGACGATGTAGTATGTGTGTGCGATATCCAAGGGCGGGTCTGTCGGGTCGGTGGGTGTTTCAGGCGGCTTGAGGGCGGAGATTTGACCCCGGGTCGGGACTAGTAAGTCGCTGAATTGCGGCAGGAGGTGAGATGTGTATCCGTTGGTTGCGAGGAGGACTTGGGAGGTAGCGATTGTGCCGCGCGGAGTGTGGACTGTCCATATAGAGTTGTGTTGGGGGGTTTTAGTACCACCGGGACTGCTGAGGTTGGCTGATGTTTCGGCTCGGGAGAGTCCTGTGACCGGAGTGTTGGTTTGGAGGTTGAATGACCCTTTGGATCCTTCGTTGGCTGCGAGTAAGCGCTCTAGCACGAACGCGACGAGCTTGTACGGCCATAAACTCGCAGCGTTCCATTGCACTATAGCGCCTTCGGCGTGGGGTATCCTCAAGCCGTCAAGCGTGAGCTCCCTCCGCTCGCCCTCGATCAGGTAAGCCGGACTTCCTGAGAGGTCGCCCTCACCCTTTTTACCTTTGGTCACAACAGCTACATTGGCGGCTAGGTCCGGGTAGTGTTCTGCGAGATCATCGACAATTGCGCGGCAGTTTTTGAATAACTTCCTCGAGTAGAAGGCATGCACGCCGCTTGTCGACCGCCAGTCACACGGGATTGAGAACTCTTCAATGAGGCTTTTGAGATACAAAAAGTTGCGCAGCTCAAACGAGGCGATGTGCGGCTCTGAGGCGTATATGGCAGGTTGGCAGTGGCCTCCGTTCTGGATTTATAGTATTGTTAGTAGATAGGCAGTAAGATGAGATGTGATGAGACATAAGATAGAGCAGTATTATGTAGTTGACCTATAAAAATATATGTAGGATTTAGATATATGAAAAGTCTCTTCACTAATACATTTTTATAGAGAAAAAGGGGAAATATAAGAAAGGGGTTTAACCAAGGGATTAAACAGGGACACCCATTTCAGAGTCTTATTTAATACAATAACTAGCTCTTATTTTTAATTCAGAATGGACTTATTGATTCTACTCACCCTTCCAGTAGCTCCCGAACAAGCCTCTCGCGCCTCAACCATGACAACATTCAGATCAGGCTGTTTTTCTTTCAAGAAATGAGCGGCGAAACTCCCCGTAATGCCGCTCCCCACAATGACCACGTCGGCGGTACGGGGCAACTCCTTTGTCGTCCGGTGGCCTAGCAATTTGTTCGAAGGCTCCTTGTGCCAATACGACTTGGTCGGATTATCGACAGGCAGGCCTGACTGGCCCTCGAGGAGCTGAGGTTGCGCCATGTTGGCTCTTAAGTTGCTTCTTTATTCCGAGTGGGGTAGGGGATGAGAATAGTTGCCTTAAGTGAACTTAGAGTGAGACTAGATGAGAGTTATATTTTAAAGTTAAACATCTGACGTTTTGAAGTATAGTGGTGATTGAGGAATAGATACGAATAAAAGGAATATATACGTGGTAGGTACCAAACATAAGGTAGGCATACTCAAAGAGATTCCAATATGAAGGTACAAGCATTAGGTACTTAGGTACGTAAGTGTAGATCTACTAGATGAGTCAGCTGGGTATTGGGCAGTCCACTTATACCGTATTATTCGCAAATCAAGACTTGAATAACTACCTAGGTACCTAGGTAGACTTAATAATACCATCTTAAGGATGCGTAGAACAGACAAACTTAGCTAACTAGATTGATATGAATACTTTACTATGTTTCCTTAATATTTAGAAACGCATTAAAAACTATTTTAGAAATAAGTGTACTGTTACGGTTGTTACAAGAGCTATGAGGTTGTTTTACAGAGCTAGAGAAAACGGATTGTTACCTAGCTACCTTACGTATGTTTTCGTGCTTAAGCTCTAAGAATAAGCGTATTTTATTATGAGTGCCCGTTAACTAAGGCAAGGGGAATATAAAAAGTACATATTTAATTCATGAATCCCTAAACGTTACAGGTAGTTTTCCCATAGTTAGTCAAAACATAATTGGGGACATCTCATTCCTAAAATCCGAAGTAGAAGTATTAAAAAATTTTTATAGCTAAATGGTAACTTGGTTAATGTATCCCTTTATGGCGGTGCCGCATTGCCCGTCATATAGGCACTGAATGCTCTCTACACAACATATTAGTCAATGAAAGCCCAGATATATCAAACATGGAGTGAAGAGAATAGGAGAAACGGAAATACTTACCGGGTTTCTCGTTTGGAGGAACACAGTGCCAGGTCCTGTGAATTTACAGACCAGCCCCTCTCCACTAGCAAGTCCTCCCATGATACCACCGCTAGCTACACGCTCCATCACATATTTAACATTCCAGGCAACCAGGTGTCCATTATCGACGATATATTTCTCACCGTCAGCAAGATCCTTGCGGATAATTGCACCGAAACTGGTGATCCAAAGTAAACCAACACCACTGATCTTGTGGACCCATAGACCTTCCCCGCTGAACATTGCCTTGCCGAGTCCCTGGCGCTTGTAGTCGCGGATGACACCTTGAGTGCTAGCGACGTAAGCGTCTTTGCCAACGCTCCACGATTCCTCTCCTGTCAAGCGGATGGTGGTCATGTCGCCGAGCATGCCAGGCGCGAGTAGCAGCTCGCCGGGGCCGATAAATGTCGAGTGTCCCAATTCGCTACCGCTGGCCATCAATTTCTTCATGCTAAACTTGTACTCGCCCTTCAGCGTAATAGTGGGGCTCATGGCGATTAACACCCCTGGCTTCGCGGCGATCGGACATCCCATTGCTAATTGGATCGTGATTATCGTATTACAGTCCCTATGACTGATGCGGTATGAGCCGCCATTGAATGTCCCCACATCATCTAAAGTCGCGGCGGCGCCTTGGAATTGCGCGGCTGTAGGAGCAGGCGCAGGCACAGGCGGAGGCATTGCCGCGGGATTTGATGTTGTCCGCGAATGCGCCGGTCCCGTTCCTAGAATACTCTGTGCCTTCTCATTCGGGAAACCCTCTGGAGCATTATGTACTATATCCCCATATGCTGGCGCGGCTCCACTTGGTGGTGTGAGAGCACCTTCATTTCGAATCGGTAGGGCTCCATGCTGTGCTGGCTGAGGGGGCGGAGGTTGGTAAATAGGTGTTCCAACTTTGGGTGGCGGAGATACGCCTTGTTGCGGAGGCGCAGAATATTGTTGTTGTGAAGGAGCTGTGTATGTTTGTTGCGAAGGTGGAGAATAGACTTGACTATGAGGTTGTGATGGAACGTAACCTGGTGTGCCTGGTGGTGGCGGGTAGAATTTGGACTTGTTCGCAGGAGGGGACGTAGGCGGTGGGTAGTTCATCTGTGATGCTGTAAATGTTTCTGTTAATTTACTGTTACTGGCACAAGCTTGCGATCCTGCTATGAAAGCATACCTGGTGGGCCATTGGTGCTGGGAGGCGCTATATTATTAATATTAGCTATATAAACCAAAGCTGAAGAGTGTGAGTTAACTAGACGATCACATACGGGGATAGTAATGAGCAGACATTGTCGCACAATGATCTTTGAGCGTCTTGATACAGAGGGTATTCAAATCAAGCTGTAGAAAGACAAGTCCTAGACACTATTATTTGCCGTGTTAGTTTAGAGTCGGCATAAGACCGGATAAGTTGAGGCGGTTATGGTTGCGGTTGAAGTTGACCGCGAAGGATCGTCAATGTGCCATAAGCCCCGCATTCATTTCGCACTTACATGTAATAGACATGGATCGTATAACCATAAGTACCTAATATAAGATAGCTAAGACAGATTTCTCATATATTTGACGACTCTAGATAAATGTTTTTAAAAAGGGAAACCTAGATATTATGGAGGAGAGGTAGACGAGCAAAGCTGGAAGACGTCTTTTAGACGTGATCGACAAATGGTCGCCTTTTTGGCCGCCATCTTCTCAGGGGCGATCAAGCTGCATATGTATGTCCTATGCCTGTAGAAGGGATAAGCCGTAGCTAGACCTTGCTATACAGCTTCGCCCGGCTACTCGGCGTCGATGAGATTTACCCAATCATGAATGAAGCTGGACAGTTGTACGGGATCGAAGACTGCGTGGCCAAGCGCTACAATGTTTTGATAGGCGCTAAACTCAGCGCTTAAACACAGCCCTAGAGGAAACAAAAATTATAATTGGCTTGAAAACTTGGGGGTTATTTTGATTGGGTGTTTAGTAAGTAAAATTGGAGAGTGTAAGAGGTACTTATCACAATGTACCCGCTGAGATCTCTTCGAGCTCCTGCAGTTTTCCATTAGAACAACATTATGTACATACAGCGATCGAAAGGTACTTGTGGATACTGCAAACAATAGGGAATTTATCACGATTTACGCGTATTTGCCTGTACTCAATATTGACTACAAATGTTATGTAAGGCCATTAACTTAGCATTGTAATTTCGGTATTACGAAACAGGTACCGAAGTAATGTTACGGTGGACCATTATGACATTAGTGTTAAAATCAAAAAAATAAATGACATTATATTTAATAAAATAATAATAAAACAAAAATACAATATAAGTTCAATTAATATATGTTATATATATAATTAACATTTTTTTTAATTTTATATTATAATAATTTTACAAATATTTATTTAAATATTTTTTAAAAATTATTAATATTTAAATTAAAAAAAATTAAAAATTATTATTTAAATTATATATAATTTAATTTAAAATTTATAAAAATATTAAAATAATTATATATATATAATTTTTTTTATTTTAAAAAATTAATTAATTAAATATTACTTTTATTTTAATTTTAAAATATTTAAATTTAATAATAACATTTATATATATTTAAATAACTTTATTAATATATTATTTTAAAAAATATAATTAATATTATTTTATAATTTTAATTAATGTAAAAATAATAATATAAATTACATGTATATATTTTTTAATTAATATATTATATAACGTATTAAACAAGTGTAATGTTACAATGACATCGTATATAAAAGTTTATTATGTAATCTTAGCTTTTAAAACCATATAAAGTCTTTAAATTATTGCATTTTTTTGATTATTATTATTGATATAAATTCCTTTATTATTAATAATTAATAAATAAATATTATTTATACTTATTAATTTTATAATTATTTACATTTATTATATATATTTTCTTTTACATTAAATATATTTATTTTTTTTTCTTTAAATTTAAATTTTATTTTTGATTAATATAATCCCGATATATATTTAAAAATAAAATATTATTTTTAATTATTAGGAATATTTTTTATAAAAATCTAATATGTTAAATATATAATTTTATTTTAAGAGTTATTTAATTTTTATTTAATAGTAATTACTATAAAATTTAAACCTATAACTTTAATTTTAAAAAAACTAATTAAATATTGATTAATTAAAATAGTTTTATAAATTAAAAAATTAATTTTAAATATTTATTAATAAAATATACAATTAAAAATAAAGAAATTATAAAAATTTTAAATTTATTAAGTATTAATAATAAATTATTATTGAAATTTTAAAAAACATTTTTATTTATTAATATTACTTAATTAATAAAATCTTTATTAAATATAAAATAATTATAATCAAATTATGCCGAAGAAATATAAATAACGTTTAAAAAATATAAAATAATTTATAAATTAAAAAGCTTAAAATAATAATTAATAAAATAAATTTATATATTAAATAATATTAAGATATTAAAAATATAACAATAAATAATAATATATAATTATAATAAAATAAATATAAAAGATTATTAAACTAGGTTTATTTAAAATAATAAATAAAATATAATTAAATATTAATATAAAAAAGATATAAATCAAAACACTATTTTACAATTATATTATTGAAATTAATAATATAATATAAATAAGGAATAAACTCCATAATTATAAAATCTATTTAATTAATATTATAATTATAATAAAAAATTTATTAATTAAATTATTAAATTAAAATAAATAATATATTATTAAAGTTATTATAATAACCTTATTATTATTTATTTTATTATATTTTTAAATAATATAAATAAAGGTTAAATTTATAATTATTTACTTATAAAATAAACTTTTTATTAAAAAGAAAATATTTTATAAAAATTAAATAATCAATTAAATGTTTATAAATAAAAATAAATATTTTTTATATTTTTATATTGATTATATAATATAAAATTATTATTATTATTTATTATTAAGTTAGATATTTTTTATATTTTAAATATAATAAAATATTAATTAATTTATTAAAATTATATTTAATTAATTTTAAAATAGCGATATTTTTATTTAAGATTAACTATTATATTAAAAAATAATATTTTAATTTAAGATTTAATTAAATTTATTATTTTTTAATATTAATATATTATTTTTATTTATTATATTATTAATATTATTAATTATTAGATTTATTTATTTTAATTAATTAAAATTTAATGTATATAAAAACGTTTTATATATATTATTTAATAATAAATTAAAATAAGAAATTTTTTTTTAAAAATTATTATTTAATTGAAAATAAATTTAGATTATATAATTTATTAATTAATTTTAATAAAATATTATATTGTTATTAAATAAGAAAATAATATTCCTTAATAGAAAATTAATTAATATTTAATTAATTATTTAATAAATCTATTTACCTATTATTTATATAAATATATTTAATATATTAATAATAGATTTAATTACTTAAAAATAATTAACTATTTAAATATTAATATAAGAATTAATTTTTAATTTAATATTATTTATATATCTTTATTAAATCGTTTTTCCTAATTTATAAAATTATAAAGATAAATTATTTAATAAAATAAACGTTATTTAATAATTAAAAAATATTAATAATATTTTTTATTAATATAAAATAATTAATTAAGATTATATAAAAAAAATTAAATTATAAATAATCAATAATAATATATATAAAAAAATTAATATAATTATTAATAATTTAATTAATTAAAATTAAATTTAAATTTTATTAAAAAAAGAATTTATTATATAAAACCTTTATTAATATAAATTATATAAATTTAAATTATAAAATTTTAATAATAAATTTATAATTAATGACCTTATTAAACTATTAAATTTAATTATAAATTATATTATATTCTTTTAAAATATTAGAAATAATATAATTTAATTAATTAATTTTAATAATTATATTAATATTATTTTAAAATATATTATTAATAAAACTTTAAAAGATATTATTTATTTTATTAATTTATTATTTATTAATATATAAATTACATCTTTTAATCAAATTAAATAAATAATATAAAAATAATTTATTAAAGAAGTTAAATTATTAAATTAATAATAAAATAATAAAAGAAGTATAAATGATTTTAATAATGTACCGTAATAATCTTAAATTAATTAATTAAAAAAAATAATATTACCAACCAATCTTAATTAAAGATTTTTACTAAAAATAATAAATTTTAAAATCTTTTAACAATAAATAGTTTAATAAAATATTTTAATATTATATAAATTAATATATAAAAAACCATATTTAATTAAATCAAATAAAAATTAATTATTATTAAAGATATATTATTAATATCTATTTATATACTACTTTAAAATAATTTTATTTAATATTTTACTTAATTTATATAAATTAATTAAATTTAAAATTATAAATTATTCCAATTATTTAATTATTATATAAGAAATTTTAAAAAAGTCAAAATATTTCCGTTTTATTTAAATAATTATTTACTTAATATTTATTATTTTTATAATATTTAAAAAGACCTTTTTTTATGTTATATAACATTAAAATATTTAATATTATATAATATAAACGTTAATGGTTTTTTATATTTTAATTGTAATTGAAATATATATATTATAAATAAATATAATAAATAAGGGATAATTAAAAACTTTAATATTTTTAACTAAATATAATAATTTATTAAAATTAATAAGTAACTTATTAATATTATAATTTATAAATATATTATTAATTAAAATATTAATAGATTTTATATTAAAAGAAAAATTAAATATTATATTAAAAAAATTGCAATTAAATAATAAATAAATTAATAATAATTTATTTTTAATATTATAATTATTTAAAATTAAATTAGATATATTTTATTTATAATATTAAAAATTAAAACAATTAAATTTAAAAATAATAATAAAACGCCTAATTAATCTTTTTTTAAATACGGATAATTTTCCAAAATTATAAATAATAATAATATTATATATATTAAAAGTATAATTAAAAAAAAAATCTTTAATTAATTAAAAACTGCGCTAAT